AAAAAAAAAAAAAAAGAATGACTGTCAAGAGTCTATGTCAACTCTTTGGTGCACTAAGAGGGAAATGAACACAAAAGGTACGGTGTTGTGGTTCAGATCACTAGAAACAACTAGTAATGGAAGGAAGCTGTTTGACTGGGAAGATGCTGCTGCAATGCTCCATTCCAGTTGAAACGCCAGTCAATTCTCAGTGTGTAAGAAATTCGTACATATTCCAAAAGAAAAAAAGTGGTCTAAGGAGACACTTAATTTATAAAACAAGATATACAAATGGGTAGTAAAGTTACTTGATAAATCACCTTCATTAAAGAATTCTGAAAGACACAAGGTACTGTCACTTTACCCATTATGCTGACAAATATGAAATGGCTCAAGAGCACTTAACAACAACACCTACACCGCCACCTTAGTGGGAGTGGATATGTGGCAAAACAAGCAATTGCCTGTACTACCAGAGGACAGCTTGAGAATACTAAAGTAAAAACCGTATGTACCAATCAACCTAACAATGTGTCAATTATAGGGAAATAACCTATAATTAAATTTAATTTATCCCTGGGGGATACTTCAAAGGCCCCCAGCAGTAACACAGAAGAAAGGCCTGTAGTCTACTGCCATGAAGATTATGGTTAAGAAAATTCTATGGAGCACTTTTACCCCATAACACATGAGTCACCACGAGTCACAATCGACTCAAAGGCAATGGGCTAACTTACCAGAAATGGGAAATAAATTATGCAGATGCATCTGTAAATGAAATAACATACAGCCATTAAAAATGGTAGTAATTACTCACAGATCATGATATTCACGATACTGAACCCAATATGAAAAAATACATTCAGTATGTGTACTATGATCACATTGATGCAAAACTGTGTGTGTAGGCACAGAATGTCTGGAAATTCATGAAAATATTAATAGTGATGCTATCTCTAGGATTATGGGTGGTTTTACTTTTATCTTTTATAGCTGTTACACTATTTAAATGTTTCACAAAGAGGAAGCTTCATTTTTCACAGAAATGCACAGCCAAAGCAGTTTTTGTTTTAAATATGTAAGAAATAGTCTATTCATGGAGGATAAAACAGGTTCTATTAGATAATGATCTGGTAGAATGCTGTACCAACCAAGCAGTCTCTTCTACCCATCTGTCTCTGTTCAGAAAATAACCACAATTACATACATCAAATAGTCTCTTCACATTACATCCACTTCTTCACTTAGCGACATGGGCAGGTTGCTACGCAAAACCTGCATTATGTGAGAGTCCCATCTTTGGTATTACACCCTGGCCACTTACTTACACCACTAGGTGGGCACACCTCTGCATGCATGTGGTGGTGCACTGGGTTCTCCTTCCCCACCGTGCACCTCCCACCAACACACAGCCCACAGAATTTGTGTGTGTGTAGGGGGGGATTGGTGGTTGGTGTTGTTTACCGTCCATTGCCTCCCACTGCCCACACCCTGGTGGGGACTCATTCATCCTCTGTTTACCCTGGACCCGAAGCCTATGTGGCCTTGTATCCTTTTCCCCACCTTCCAGACTTTCTCCACTGAGCACCCCAGTGGCTGGAACAAGACATCATGCACAAACAGAAGACATCCTATGGTTAGTCTGCCACTATGCCTAATGTGACTCAGTCATTACCAGAGTTTTCTGTGTATCATTCAGGGTGGCCCACAGAGGGCATCCATGCAGAGCCCAGACCACTGGAGGCTATGCCTGAGAATTTTCCAAAGTTGTCATAAATGCAAAATGTTGGATAATGAGATCATCAAGAAGAGAGACGGCATCACATGTACAAAATATAAAATATGCAAGACAAGAATCTCACCATCATCCTTTCTAAGGAGCATTCTGAATGTACTACTTTCAAGACAGATTTGTTTGTTCTTCTGGCAACCCATGATATATCTGATATTCTTTGCCAACATAATTTAAACACTCTTCTTCAGACTTCCTTATTTACTGCAAGTCACAAATTATGGAAGACTTCTAGTGTGGTGCTACAAGATAAGCACTGAACTGTGAGCCACAAGGTTGGCAGTTCAAACCCACCAGTGGCAACTCGGAAACCCCATACAGGTTCTCTATGAATTGGAAGCAACTTGATGGCACTTAACAATCACCAACAGCATAAATGATGGGTAACATTACAAAGAATGGTAATTCCAGAATACTTAATTGTGCTCATGAAGAATCTGTATACAGATCAAAAGGCAGTCACAGAACAAGGGGATACTATGGGGATTAAAATCAGAAAACTTGTACATTTCACCATACTAACTCAGTCTGTATGCCGAACAAATAATCTAAAAAACTGGATTATATGAAGAAGAATATGGCATCAGGATTGGAGGAATGAAGATTCATTAACAACCTGTGATATGTAAAAGACAGAACCTTGCTTGCTGAAAGTGAAGAGGACTTGAAAAACTGATGAACGACAAAGACTACAGCTTCCGGTATGTGTAACATCTCAACATAAAGAAAACAAAAATCTTCACAACTGGATCAATAATCAACATCCCAAGAAACAAAATACTGAAGATGTCAAGAAGTTCATTATACTTGGGTCCACAATCAGTGTCCGTGGAAACAGCGGTCAAGAAACCAAACAATATATTGCACTGGGCAAATCCGCTGCAAAAGAACTCTTTAGAGTGATAAAAAGCAAAGATGTAACTTTAACATATGCCTGACCCAACCCATGGTGTATACAGCTACCTTAAGAAAACTCTCGTCTTCGGTACTCTTGTTGCCTGTTGCTGTGGAGCCGTTGCCAATCGTTAATGACCCATGCGTACAGAGTAGAACTGTGCTTCATAGAGTTTTTAATTACTGATGTTTTTGGAAGCAGATCACTAGACTTTTCCTCTGAGGCACCGCTGGGAGGGTTTGAACTGCCAACCTTTTGGTCTAGTACTGCACCCCACAGGCTCCTTAACTTACTGTACCCTTGAAGTTTCCAGAGATTTTTTTTCTCCACCTTGTTTGAGTTGTTGAGCCTGTAAGAAATCACTTTCCTAAGCTAAGCTTCATCTCTCATACTTTGGACATATTGTCCAGAGGAAACAGTCGCTGGAGAAGGATGTCATGCTGGGTAAGGTGGAGGGTTAGAGAAAAAGAGGAAGACCCCCAACGAGATGGATCGGCTAGGTGGCATCATTGATGGACTCAAGTGTGGCAGCTGTAGTGAGGTTGGCCCAGGATCGGACATTGTTTCGTTCTGCTGTGCAGGAGGTCGCTATGAGTCGGTTCCGACTTGATGGCACCTGACAACAACAAGTCTTTCTACCAGATCCTTAAAAAGATTATTTTCTATTTGCATCAACCAAATATGCACAACTAGGCAATGTAAAAGGAGCCCCAATAGCATGGTGGATTATGAGCTGGGCTGCTAACCACAAGGGCAGCAGTTTGAATCTACCAACTGCTCAGCAGGATAAAGATGAAGCTTTCTGCTCCTGTAAAGATTTACAGCCTTGGAAACCCTATACAGGGTCGCTAAGAGTCAGCACCAACTCACTGGCACACACTCACTGCCACCAAGCAATGGAAGTATAGTTCCTATCATCTTTCCTGTTCTCTAAATCATGTGCTGCTAAAATATATATATTTTATTGAACTCGGCATTCTCTATTCAGCTGTGTTCAGTCATTCATTGTAATGGCCACACAGAACTCAGACATCATAGTCACAGTTATGGGAAGTTAACAGGTTCCAATTCAGGGTCAGGGATGCTCAGGGCACAGTTGTTCACTCAGGACAGACTCTTCCCTGAGCTGTGCCTAGAAGCAGGCCTCTCTCTCTCTGCCTAGTCAATGTTATAAAACTTTTAGGCTGCTGATAAATGTCCACAGGACATGTCATTCCCCCATAAGCCCCAGTCTGAAAGCACTCAGCTCTGACTCTACGGTCAGCAAACCTAGCTCCTCCAATTAAGTGCCTGAAGGCAGGCGACTCTGCTAGCGAGCCTCCTGCTCTGTCGGGTGCACTAGTGCTTGGTTCTGCTGCTGCTCCTCTGATACTCCTCCGGTGGCACAGCTTTCTGTCCCTGGGTTGAAGAGGTTCAATGTGCAGGGATCTTAGAGTCCAAAAGATGCAATCCACTCTTGGCTTTTCATCTTTGATGGGAATGAGATCCCCCCTCTGATTCTGGGATGGTTCATTTTATACTCAACAGGATGGCAAAACTGACCAATCACAATTAGCCCGATTAACAATCACTCCCAGTCGAATCATATAAACCCATCAGCATCTTTCACCCACTTTTTGTTACCCAGACCCATTAGAAAAAAAGTAGATTGGTGGGCATTTACAAGACTTTGACTAGAAAAGACATTAAATAATTCACCATACCACACACGTAATAACAAGTTTTTTTTTTTGTCCCCTGAACCAGACCTCTCTTTATGCCTCTAAGTAGAAATCAATTATTCACTTGTCAATGAAGCCATTAGCAGTCAATCACAGATTGAGTACATTTAGAGATTTATCATCAAAAATGAAATTAAATTGAGAGATGTGTCTTGCCTTCATTATGCAAAATGATATTCCAGAGCTATAAGTGAAGTTGGCAAAGATACAGTCTTCAGTGTATGTGTATACGTGTATACACACATACACTCATAGAAAACAAATGTAACTAGGGTACAAAATGCTGTCATACATGGGTTAGCCATAACTCCACTTTCCAAAATAATAATAAAAAGCCACACAAACCTTTAGCTGTTCATCTACAACTCTTGTCACTTCTCCAGCCATTGACTCCAGAGTTTCCTGAATTGGACTGGATGACAAGTCACTGGCTCCTGTCCAAGATGCGCCACCAACATGGTATAAATTTGGTAACAGCTGAAAGGAAAAGGAAAAGTAACTTCGCCATAATATAAAAAGAAATCCTTAAAATAAGCACCAAGTCACTGAAGAATAAAAAAGATGGAGAAAGTCAATACTTGAAGGAATATTATTAGAGATGATCTATTCTCAACCAAAAACCCTTCTTACAGATTAATACACTGAGGGCCAGGCTCTTTCTGAGTTTATTATGCAATAAATTACAAGCTTAAGAATTAATTGTGGGAGATTTAGGTGTCTCCATGGTGGCTACATCTGTCATGAACCAGTTTTGGGAGTACTGGTATGGCACTGTGGGTTAATGCGCTAGACTGCAAGGTCAGTTTGAGCCATAAGGCCGGCAGTTCAAGCTCACCAGCTGCTTCTTGGAAACCTGGACAGGGTCACTATGAGTCGGGACCGACTCGATGGCACTTATAACAACAACAACAATTGCCCCTTTGTGCCTAAATGGTCACATCCAGGGTTTGAGAGCATTTATTAACTTATAAATAAATCTCCTACTTATGACAGTTAATGATTGTGTGATTTGAATAACAGAGTCAGGATCAGACCCCATGTTTTGTGACCACCAGTGAGTTTTCTCTCGATCAGGTCATACTCAAGGAACAAAATTCTAATGTCAGAGAAAGCAGAGGGGGAGTGTTATGGTACTAGCTTGGAACTAGGATCATTTAAAATGAGCTTATATTCATTTAAACTTCAGTGACCAGGTGTATATTTTGTAAATCATACTGCTCCTCTGGCTATTCATTTTACATTTTGATCATAGAAAGAGGCAAAGGCAGATTCACTTTGTCATGCATTAGAGAAGTAAAGAAAAGTTAGAACTAACTTCAGTAATTGAATTTTTTCTTATGAAAAGTTGAAAACCTACACAAAAATAAGTTGCTTGTATAAGACATTTCCATGTGTGCATCAAAAAAATCTCAATTGGATATGTCTGTCATGATTTGTTTCATCAAAGAACTTCTAACTTCTTGCCTCACACCTTGATCCCACTAATATTGAAGCAAATTATATTACTTTATAGTTTATAAAACTGGATTCTTTGATCATTAATTCATCCAGGCTAACATCTTTCTCTTTCATCATTAATACTGAAGAGTTTATTATATTTCCTAAAGGCTTTGATATAACCTAAAAAGTCATCATTTGTTTTAAATACATAAGACTCTTACATTGCTGGAAGTGAAACTCACCGTTCTGGAGTTCTTAGCATCACGCACAAGTCTTTCTGCCGATTTTAAATCTTCCTGAACAGCATCTCCACCATAATTTCGTAAAGAGTTAAGGTGGTCTTGTACTTTCACACAAATTCTGTCAACCATCTACTCCAAAACAGACAGTGAAAAGTGCAAATATCTGAGTCAGCACAGTTGATATTCATACAGAAGGAAACACAGAATGAATGAAGATTAAAATTTGCTCTCACTGGAATCTTCCAGAATATAGCTTATGGACTGTGAATACTTTTGTGTAACTGTTTATCCCAGAAACCTTTGGCAGTATTAACACCAGGGAAAAAAACACTTGAGGCATTTCAGTCTCATGCTCGCAGCATGAACAACAGAAGTGTTTCTTGATGATTCAGAATCCTGTTGTTACTACTCAGTGACACCCTGCGAGATAGTAATTCTCCTTCATTAACTTGAAAAAAAGTAATTTGATGGAGGATAATTTTGCTGTAAATATGCACAGCAAAAGGTAGACAATTACAAGAAATTCTACAAGTACAATTCAGTGACATTATTTACCACTCTTGCTATAATCAACTTTTATGTGTATGGGGACCATGGGTGATGCCAAGAATTAACATGCTTGACTGCTAACCGAAATACTGGAGATTTAAGTCCATCCAGGGGTGTCTTAGAAGAAAGTCTTGGTGATCTACTTCTGAAAAATCAGCCACTGAAAACCCTGGGGGCACAGTTCTATTCTGATAACATGGAATCCCCATGATTGAGCTGACTTGGCAGCAACTGAGTGCCAGCCATAGTGCCAGCCACTAGGAAAACATAGATATAGAACATGCAACTCTGAGATGGCGGAACTGACTGAAAATGAGGCCCATGGTCACGTGGTTTAATACAACCAAAACCAGAGCATCCTCTGGAGGATGATTTTGCTGTTTTTTAAAAAATTAATTCAATTTCATCAGATAGTCTTTAATGTAACAAGAACTACCGAGAAATACAAGCAAGTTGAGGTTTTATTAACATAGGTAAAACATAGATAATAATGACGCTAATAATATCTAACTTTATTCTACCAAAGTCAACTCTGAGATTAACTGCACTTGAATTATGTCCCGTTGTTAACATGGGTTTCAATATCAAACCCCAAAGGAAAATGGCAGATCACTAATGCAGTTCTCCCCCCACGCAAATTTATAAAAGTGAAGATCATGCATTTATATATTTATACTTATAGGGAGAAAAAAATCATTAAGCAAGCTAACAATTCTAAAGAAAAAAAAAATAATCGGACTTTAAAATTTTCTCCAACATTTGGTCAGAGCTGTAAATTGTCTATTTCATGTTCTGGAAAGATTATTAATTCACCATAAACCTCACATGCCAAGAGTCTCAGTCTTTCTGAGAATTCATTTTACAAAAATGACAATCTAGCAATATTGTTTTGTCATTTAAAAATCACACTTTTTTTTTTCTTTCATTTGTTGCTGTTGAGAATATAGACTGCAAAGCACATGCCGATTCAACTGTTTGTACACACACACTTCATTAATGTGATCATTAATGATGACATTCTTGGAGTTGTGCAACCCATGTCATCCTCCTTTTCTGAAGTTGTTTCCCTTTCATTAACAAAAATCCTCTGGTCTCCAAGGCTCCTAGCTAGTTTTTCGAATTGCTGTTGTCAACTTGATCTCATATGTTGTTGTTAAGTGCCATCGAGTTAGTTCCGACTCATAGTGACCCTGTATAGGGTTTCTGAGGAGTGACTGGTGAGCTTGAACTGCTGACCTTGTGGTTCCAATCGACTTTGCAGCCCAACACATGAGCCCACAACGCCACACCAGGACTCCATTGTTGTTGCTAATTGCCATCAAGTCAATTCCAATTTATAGCAACCTGTACAGGGTTTCCAAAAAGTGGCTGGTGGGTATGAACTGCCAATCATTTGGTTAGCAGTTCAGTGCTTATCCTAGACTGCCACACCAAAATTTCATTATAGGTAGTTCCTACAAGAGCACAATGCTCAAGGCAGACACTTTTTTACTAGTTAAGCTGAACTGATATTTGGTTTTAATAATTTGAAATCACAATTACAAGAAGTCAGTTTATTTCTCCACCCCCAAATTAAAAAAAACACACACAAAAAACAACTTTACTCCACTACTAAATAGACTTCAAGCCTGAATACAGATCCCATGTCCACTCCTGCAGCTCCACGATCACCTCTCTTGCCTTTCTCTTTTCTGTATTATAGTTCATCATATCTACCTGAAGAGATGGGACAACTGAATAAAATAACATCACTCAAATCTCCGGTTCTGGTGACAAAGTATCAGTAATGTGAACGTTGATGTATATTAAAAACAGCCCCTAAAACTGTAAAGATTTACTGAGACTATGCAAGTGAACTATGATGAGCTCCCCTGGGGGGAAAAGATGTGATGTGTATGATGCTTCTCAACTTATACTGTCCTTCTAACTAAAAAAACACCATAGCTAGTAAGCAGGGATTGATTGTATCTTAAATTTCTGCAGAGCTAACTATACATTCAAAAGAGATCTTAACTGATATAAATTCTAACTCTTAACTATTGTACTGATCTGGGATTCCTGAAGCAAAATGATCATCAAGAATTCACATCTTACCAAGAATGAATACCAGATTTTAAGAGAGAAAATAAACCACATGCTAAGAAAGAAACTGATATACATTGGGGGCCACAACAGACTAATTTGAGAGGCATGTGACTAGCCTAGAAAAGTGACCATCTTTTATCATCATGAGATATGACAGAGACTCCAGAAAAAAGTGCATTAGGCATTCACTGAGGAGTGGGAGTCTAGATGAACTCAACAAAATGGTCTCTAAATGTGGCATTTTTCAATCATATCTAAAAGTCACATCAATACCTAATTCTTCAATTCTAAGAAGACATAAAACTCCCATCACAAAGATTTTTCTGAGCATACAGTTGCTTAAGTTCAGCATAGCCTAACTGACTACACTCACAATCTTTAGAGCAAAAGAACTCAAGTCCTAGAAAAGCAAAACAATCTATTTAAGAGGATACAGAATGTTTGGTAGTGGTCAGCGGTGGTTGTGTGCTATCATAGAGACCCTGTATAGGGTTTCTGAAGATATAAAATCTTTATGGGAGCAGAAAGCTCATCTTCTTCCACAAAGTGGCTCGTGGTTTTGAACTGCTGACCTTGAGGTTAGCAATCCAATGCTTAATCCATTTTATCTGCAGAGCTCCTTACAGAATGATTACAGTGTGCAAACTGAAAATCTCAAAATAAGGAAGTCAGGATATCTAGGAGTTTGTCTACCCATCCATTAAGTTCATCCATGTTTAAAAGACCCCAGATTACCCAAAGTATGGAGAATAAAGGCAATTGCAATCTGAAAGATTCAAGAAGATTTCATTAAAAATAAAGGGAGATTCCATTTGGAACATTGCAATCTTGGATTATACCGTGAGAAGATCTCACTATAGATGAATACTCAGGATTTTGAGTTTAATGGATTTCATCCTAACCTACAGAGTTCAATTTTTCTAACAAAACCCAGAAAAATTGTTGACTACCAAGAATTTGAAAACCTATAATGACAAGCAGCTCACTTTGTTTCAAGTAAATGCATGCTCTGTTAATCTGGGAACTGGTCTTGTTTCAGTCCTAACCTATCTTTCCAGGTCTTACCTACAGATCCCATGTTCTCCACCTTGAGAACGCCCTGAAGAGGAACAGTCTAACTTCCACACTGACAGTCTCACTGAAAACTGCCCTTTCTCTCCTGTCTTCTTTTCTTCAGGCTAAACATTCCCAGTACCTTTTACACCATTCCCACTACGATACAGTTCTGAGGTCCCTGAGCCCTTACACATCACATCTGCGAATGCTCTCTTCTGCCTAAGACTCTCGTGAAATATGCCCTTCCTCAATAATACAGACTGTCACACAGAAACAGTGGCCGGGTAAGCACAGAACCAAACATGACTATTACTTTCCTAACTTCCATTAATGTGAAACAAGTCAAATTGACATCTCTGGCAACTGTGTTAGTACCTCTAACATCTCACATTTGCTGGTGACAATTTAGGCTTTTCCCAATATGTTAGGCTGCTGAGCCTAAGTGCTAGACACAGAACTGTTAGCAATCAATGCCATGTTTGGTTGATCATGACTTGTTAACAATTGTTCTTTCCAGCAAACATCTTAATTCATATTTTCCTTTGCATATACTCCTGGAGAATTTTATCTTCTTTCATATTGATTTCTTTATTCAAGAAAAGACACTTAACACTAAAGGAGACATAAGCCTGAATGAGACTATCATCAAACAATATAAAAATCTAGAAGTGGCATAAAATACACACCATTAATAGTAACACAAGATTTAAAGTGCTGTTAGAGAAAGGTACAACCAGGAGGGAATAAGAATAAAGACAGGGAGAAAAAATAAAGATTGGACAAACAATTCTCTTGCAAAGCCAGGTGGAACTGAAATGAAACTTTGCAAACTTATTTTTTTTAGTGAATAAGAGAAATTGCAGACTCCTGGTGTGGTGTTGGAGGATCAGCACTGGACAGCACACCACAAGGTTGGCAGTTCCATGCTACAAGTACAGTGTTGAACAATTACAACAGAGACTGCATGGACTACAAAGCCTAAAATATTGAGTACATATACGAAAAGCTTGCTGACTCCTGCTTATGAGGATTTTTGAGCAAGAAGAGAAAGAAACAAGAGCAGAGGTAGTAAATCTTCTAAATATCTTTCCTAAACCAGGAGAGTCAACAGATGAGAACATACATGAATTGTTATGAAACGTCAATGTTTCATCAAAACACATTTTAAGTCCTTCAGTGTCACGTGGGAATGATGACTGGCTTTGGGATTGGCAGGGCAGGAGCCATAACTACTGCAGATCTAGCTTTCTTTATTCAGATTCCTTGAAACTTCATGGTAAATCTCCCCTAAAGCCACTAAAAAGATTAAAGTCTGGAAATTGCTAATCTTAATGTCCTAAGAAATCCCCAAAGCTAAAAGGTAGCAATATACCTACTTTAAAATGACGCAAATCATTTAGAATAATGCCATCTCTGCAGAATTAAACATCCACATATGCCTCCTGTGTACAATTTTTCTCCCCATTGAGAAAACAAAACTTACTTTTAAGAACAGCATTAAAGGTTGCTGCAGTAATCTTTTTTGGATAGGCAAAATCCCTTCTGAATGAGGAAAAAAGCTGGAAAGATACTGTACTGAAAACATAAGCCTGCATTATGATAGCTGGTAAGGAAATAAATGCAAAAGTCCAACGTAAGATTTTAACACTCTCATTGCATTTAGTGTTAAATACCAAAGTGAGGAAATAACAGTAAACTGTAAGATCTAGGGTGATATTAATCCCTTACAGGAAAAAAAGAAGACTTAAAGGCACTGAGATAAAGTAAAATTAATGTTTTCTTTGTCCAAACTCTGTTACAAAAGTGATATTCATAACCATCTTTCCCCCATTTTTCCAACACAAATAGCTTTACTTTTTCTAATATAAATAATGCATGTTTATTGTAAAATATTCAAGTAATCCTGGAGTATAGAAGAATAAAGCCCATCTAATTACACCACCAGAGAAAACCATCATCAACATTTTGGTGAGTACTCCTTCTCAAATCTCTATATCTATTCAGCCACACATATCATTTTATCTAATTGGAATATTATACAGGCTGCTTTTATTATAGATGCCTCTTTTCATTCTCTTTGAAGAAAGTAAAATGACATCTGTGTAAACTCAGAAAATAGGGCAAACCACACAAAATGGTTAAAAATGGCCAAGTTAGTTCCTCTCCATATACAGAGATAAATCTTTTTGAAACCCTTTCTTTCATTCTTTGGATGATCTACATTTTAAATTTAAATAGATGAATCTTTATTATTTATTAATGCATTCTATAAAATAGTAGTTGATTCCATGAAATACAAAAAATTTAAAATACTTATACCAGCACTCAACTTTCTCCCCTTCAGTTTCTAATTTTACCTTCATTATTTTTACATTATCAAGATATTCAATATTTACATTCTGTCATGTGCAATAATTAACTCTTCCCATCTTGCCTAGATTGATATTAAAATTTTAAGTGCTCAAAAGGCAGTCACAAAGTTATGATTATTGGAGACACGGAGAATGAAACCTAACAGTGGCTAAAGTCACCAGGCTCAAACAGAGCAACGTTGTGCGGATGGTACAAGACCAGGCAAAGTTTCATTCAGTTGTACACTGGGTGACTATGACACCCAATAACAATAACACCAAGTAGATTGTCCTAAAGTAGCAATTTGAAAAAACATTTCAGCATTTATAGCTTCTATATAATTTTTTTCTTCTATAATTTTTTCAATATCTATTAGGCTGGAGAATTTCCTCAAGGAATTTTCTCTTAAGCAATAAGTGAGGCTAAAACTTTTAAGTCCATATGCGAAAATAGTTTTATTCTGTGCTCATATCTGAATTGCAGAATGGCTAAGTATAGGATTCTTGATGCAAAATAAATCTTGCTTTGAATTTTGCTGAAATTACCTTGTTTCTTTCTAGCAACTGACAGACTAGTGCTAAAAATTGGTCTGTCTTCCCTCGTAAAACAGCCCTTTAGCCTCTCTGGAACTTAAGATTTTCAATTTTACCCTAAATGTTCTGAAGTTTCACCAGGATGTGTCCAGGTGTGGGCCTCTTTCCCATTTGTTCTGATTAATTTAAATAGTCCAGATCAAGCACACAACTGATAGGATATGGTTTTCCTATTATATATATGGCTTTCTACATATTACATTAGAATCCTAGTGTGATGCTATAGGAAAAGCACTGGATTGCTAATCACAACACTGGGCAGTACACTTTCTGTTATACACAGAATTGCTATGGCTCAATGGCACCTAACAACCACAAAATAAGGACAGCTGAGCCTTTGCTATTAGAAGAGTCAGCTAAATGTGAGCTGGCAGAGACCACCGGTGCCCTTTTACCTGCTGTGTGGTGCTGGTAACAATGCCCTGCTGAAGGCGGTAGGCTTGCTCTTGAAGGTATTTTCTGGTCTCATGATTCCGCAGAAGATAATTTTCTATCTGGAAATGAAGCACATGTATCTTTCAAGAAGGCAGTTCGAGTCGATCGAGGATACAGTTTTAAGTGAAACAGCCTATTGCTGAACTGAACACTAATGGACTAAATCATACACATAGCCTGTCCATGCCCTGATCTATAAGATATATGGGAGTGGGGACATTCCCACAGGGTAATTTATTATTGGGGTTTTCATTATAAATGTAACCTGTTATAGTTGACCCTGATAAGCAAATGTTTCATTGCCTCCAGCATTACAGGCCACTTTTAGAGACTGCTCATCAGTCTTCTTGCATACATTCTCAATCTTTCTCTCTCATGAATTTTTAATTACTTAACAGTTCAGAGGACCTCTGATGTGGCACTGGACTGTGAACCAAAGAGTCTGAGGTTCAAACCCATCAGATGCTCCTTGGAAACCCTATACAGGGTCATTATGAGTCAGTGCCATCTTGACAGCACTTAACAAACAATTCAGAAGTTAAACATCCTCAAGAGTACAGATGCTAGTATGTGATCCTCTTAGACTAATTCCAGTGGTAGAACACATCAGCACTCATAAAAATTCTGTATTTTAAGGGGGAATAAAAGATAAAACTACAAAATTTGAAAGACAGAGTCTAGTATTAGTCAAAGACCTATACGAATTGTGTTAATACATCAGCTTTCCATACTTTTTCCAAAACAAAGGACTGACTAGTTTTAAGTAAGTACAAGAAAGTGAATTTCCACCAAAAATTGGAAATCTTAAAGTTGTTTGATAACCTGTGCTTTCATATGAAGATAATTTAATATGAAAAACTCTAAAGTACAAATGATCATAATTGGATTGAAATAAGACACTTAAGAATGAATAATATGCATTTGGATACATATTGAACCAACAACGGAATTACTGGAAATGATGAATATCTTTGAAGGCTTTTTTAAAAGAAGGGTTTCAGATGGGTAAATATGTGTTGGGGTGTGGTTTTTTTGGGGGGGTTGTCTTATTTTTCCTTTAGTTGTATGTGTGCCTGTTTAATAGTACTACTTAACCATTTGACTTAATTTGTCACTATGGCTCCCTGGTTAACAACTTCTAATAACTATGAAGCTTTCAGTATTATTACAATTTCATTTCAATTTTCCGTATGCTAAAATGACTACTACTTAATATCAATTAGGAACAATTAAAATATAAGACTATAATTACTATCATCCCTTGGAACTATCAAGTAGAACAAAATGTACTTTTCTATCAAATGTAAATGAAGAAATTATAGAAATGAAAAGATCCCTGAAATGAAACATCATTTAAGTGGCATATTAATGTCATGACATTCTATTACATAAACTTTCTCTTGCTATTTCCTGAGAAGACATCTCTTTCCAAGGTGACATTACCATCAATGCAAAATGCTTTTTTCTAGAAAGATCTTAGTCCTGAACAATGACAGGCACATACTGCCAACTGGAATTGGGTCCTTTTGTTTTGGTATTTTTTCTTTTATATTTGTTGCATGGTTCTGTGAGCAGTCTGGTTTCTCAGGAGGTTCAAAGCTTAGGCACAAAAGACACACCCAAGGCAGGCCCACACATTAAAGACCTTTTCCAGGTGCACCAAGCTTCACAGATTACACCTGGAATGAATTTATTAGAAAAACAGCATTCAAAGCTCCTTCCTAAAAACCAGCTGATGGGGAAGGAAGAATAGCATTTTTGAAGTGTCTTTCATATATCAATCATATATACATTACGACTGAAATTATTTGTGTCTTGGGATAGTAGGGTAACTTTCCTTCCATGTGTCCTTACTGACCAAGGACAGTGGGACCCATTCCTTCTGAGTATCAATGTCCAAACACCAGAGTAAAGTCAAATGGAAAGGGCAAAGACCTTTATCTTCCTGTCATCCCTAGGCAGTAGAGGGCCACCTGAGAGAAATTCTAGAGCCAGTTAGATATCTTCACTCTCACAGCACAAGATGTAATGATCCAGGTATCTTATATTTAAAATCTTGTATTTAAAAAACACAACTTATAAAGACTGAGTATACAATCATATTTTCTTTCTTTATTAAAGCAAACATGAAAAGCCGTATTTCTTTCAGAGGTCAGAGCTCTACTCTTTCTAAGCAATATCCATTATATAAGAGCATAATAAGTATTTTAAGACAAACTAGCAAATATAAACTTTTTTCATTAAAAACTCACAAATTCAGAAATTAATAGGTTTATGTCCTCTTTTGCCCTTATTCCAATTTCCTATTTCTATTTTTAGTTTTCTGATCTACAGAATACATCTTGATGTTTTGGATTCATATCTACCATGTTTGTGACAGTTTTCTATTTGTTGCATTTGTTTTCTTTTTTCCCTTTCCCCCTTTTCTTCCTTCTCTTTACTTGAGCATTTTTTATGATACCATGTTCACATCTTTTGTAGCCTAGTATGTCATTACACTACTTTTTAAAAACTATTTCAGTGGTTGCCCTAGAGTTTGAAATATACAAATTAATTTTACTTTATTTTCAAATTAAAAAAAAAAATATTTCAAATATTGTTTCACATCTAGTGCAGGTACCTTAGAGTATTTCCAATTCCTCCCTCCTGAAAAACCCTTAAACAACGCTCTCAATCATTTCTTTTATCTATGCTCTATAAGATTATGAACCACAAAGTTGGCAGTTCAAGTCCACCAGCCACTCCAAGAGGATTTCTGCTCCTGCAAAAAAAAACAAAAAACCCCAGGAGGTGGGGCTTGATGGCGGCTAGGGTGGAGGTGCAGTGAAGTTCACCGTCAATGACACCACAGAATACCAGGCAAAGCAGATCCAGGGCAAAGCTCCCAAACTAAGAACCACAGAGATAGGATGACTGTAAAACTAAAGTTCTCCCATGTAAACTAACACATAATTCAGAATAAAACATTTACAAAAAAAAAAAAAGAGGGAACCTAGATCCAGAGGGCGTGGAGGAAGGTAGAATCTCCACTGAATAGTATCCAATCTGTCTAGGCGGGGCTGATGAAAGGAAATGAGAATAGATCTCTTGTGATACAATAATTATTATCAGGACTGATTGTGAGGGTTGGAAATGTAAAGGTAGGCGTTTTATAGCAAGGAGGGGGTGATTAACTTTACAGTCTAGGAACATAGGTCCCTGGGACCATCAAGGGAAAAGAGCAGAGCGCGGGACCCTACACAGAGAAGCAGTGACGCCAGAGATGATGACATGGAAAGATGGAGCAGCTGGGGTCTCTATACCCAGAGAGGGAGAGGGGCTGTGTGCTGATGACCAGGGGGCGGGCTTGTAGGGTATCCCCTGTGGTTGGTTGATGATGCACGGGGTGGGGATTGTAACCGTGGCAATGAAAGGATATACGATAGGATGAATGTGAAACCAATGTCTCCCATGTAAACTATCACATAATTCACAATTATATATCTATATCTATATCTATATCTATATCTATATCTATATCTATATATATATATATAAACCCAAAGCCTCGGAAACCCTATACAGGGTCGCTATGAGTTGGAATTGCCTCCATGGCAGTTAACAACCACAACATAATCACCTAACATATTGTTGCTATTATTACTTTAAAAACCATATTTCTTTTTGTTCAATTAAGAAAAAGAAGACTATTCCTTCTGATTCTCTTCCTTATTTTAATATGTTGTTGTTGTTGTTACGTGCCGTTGAGTCGGTTCCGATATAGATCTGAGTTTTTAATTGATTAGATCGTCCTTCTCGCTGAAGAACTTTTAACATTTTTACATGACAGGTCCACTAGTAATTCCTGTTTTTGTTTGTCTATGAAAAGTCTTTAGTTCTTTGTTTTTTGAAGAGTAACTTTGCTGGCTCAATAGCAATGGGCTTGTTTACATGCTTTATATAAATTTCTAGGTTGATGTTTATTTTTCTTTCAACACTGTTAACACTTTCATTCAACTCTCATCTTACATGATTTTTTTATGAGTAATCAAGGGTATTCATACCCTTGTCCTCTAGAAGTTAATTTTCTCCCCTCTGGCTTCTTTCAAGACTTTCTTCTTTATCTTTAACTTTCTGCATAAATATGTCTAAGGTATAGATTATTTTGTTATTTATCCTGCATGGTGTTCTAAGAGCTTTCCAGATCTGTGGTCTGTTGTCATTAACTTTGAAAATTTCTCATTTATTCTATCATGAAATATTTCAGTTATTTTGCCCCTTTCTCTTTCATCTCCTTTTGGTATTCCTATTATGCATAAGTTTCATGAACATTGTCCCATGGTGCTTGGATATTATGTGACTTTGTTTTATTCCTCTTTACATTTCCGTTTGGGCAATGTATTAATACATCTTTATGCTTACTGATTCTTCTCTTGACACTGACCAGTCTACAGATGATCACATATGTAATAGTGTTTCTTTTTAGGCTTTAATCTATACCTTTTATTTTTACTTAAGTTTCCATCTCTCTGCTTATGTTTGCTCTTACATTTAACATATTAACCAGTTATTTTAAATACTTTACATAGTCATTCCAAAATACAGGTCACTTTATGAGTCTAGTTTTGATAACTAGACTCTTTAGCTTGTGTTTTGTCTCTTTATCCTGTGTTTTGTCTTGCTTTTCAGGATGTTTTGCGATTGTTTGTTGAAGGTCAGACTCAATCTGGTCATAGGAAATGAAGGAATAAAGCATCCACCATTTATGTTATTCTAGCCTGCTGTGGGATAAAGCACTGGAACACAAGGTTGGTTTGAACCACAAGGTCGGTGGTTCAAACTCACCAACTGCTCCTTGGAAACCCTATACAGGGTTGCTATAAGTCAAGATCAACTCGACAATACTTAACAACAATAACAAATCCAGGAGAGGGTTTGGGGGTATCTGTGTTTAAAGTTTGCTCTAGTTGTAGGTGCCAGAGGCTTTAGCTTTCTTGTTTCTGTTTTCTCTTCTGATGACTTCGGATTTCCCTAAAACCTTTTTTTTTTAAAACTTTTTACTGTGAATTAAGGTTTACAGTCAAGTTCGTCAGTTTTATATTCAACAAATAACACTGTTGTTTTCATCTCAATGTTGCTATCCTCTCCCTGGAACAACAGTCACCCACTTCCTCCCCGTGGTTCCTATTTCCCTTCCACCCACCTTCCTATCACTTCTCACCTTTGTCCTTAGGTACATGTTGCCCCTTTGATTTTAAATGATCGTTCCATCACTCATAGTGAGCCTATCTTACTAGTGTTGTTGTTCCCGCGATGTATCTTTCTACTGCTTAGCTGAAAGAGGGTGAGCTCCTTTCCAGACCAAAACAGTGGTCGAGAGCTAACAGGCTCAGGTTCCTCCAGTCTTTCTGACCACCAAGTCTTTTTCTGTTTTGCTTTGATTTTCAATAATTCTGCATTTTGATGCTGCTCTATCCAGGACCTTCTATTGTGTTCCCAATCAGAGCAGTAGGTAGTGGGTAGCTGGGCACCATCTAGTTCTTCTGGTCTCAAGGTCATGTAGACTGATGTCCACATGTTCCATTAGTCCATTGGGCATGTTGATTCCAAGCATCTTTAATTCTCATCACTATTCCTTTTCCACACATGGATAGACCAATAGCCACACCTTAGATGACTGTTCGTGAGCTTTTACATCCCAGATGCTACTCACCAAAGTAGGATGTAAAACATGGTCTTTGCGGACTATGTTGTGCCAACTGACCATGGTGTGCCCTGAGAATATGGTGCTGAGCCCCTAGGCTCAGCTACTCATTGCTTTAAGATGTTTGATAATAACTAGTTTTCATCATTTTTGCCCATTGTATGCATAACCACATTCACAGTGGTGTTTGCAGGAAAGGTGAATACCCATGTACCAATTTCTTCTTTAACATGCTTGTACATCTGTGGTGGTGTGCTGTCAAACATATAAATGTATACACACCTATATACATATATACACACATTCTACTCTTCTGCTCATAATCATTCAGCATGTGTCTCTGTCCATGAATCTACCCACAGAGTATTGTTGTTCCAAGTAAAACCTCTGAAGTCTGTGTCACACAGCTCTCTTAGTTGTAATGAAATATTATGCTGAAACCCTACTAACAGGATGATATACTTCTTAAGTGTTGTCAAATAGTGTTGGAAAAGTGAAACATTTTACATGAAATGTTTTCAAGTTTTCATTTTAACTTTTTCTAGTGGACCTGAGTCTACAGGCTTTGAACTTGAGAAATGCTTGTCTTTTTTTTTTTTTTCCTTTCCTCCTCTCCCCCTAAGTGAGACGGAAAGGTTATCCGGGATTGCAGTCATCTAATTGCCCTTCTGCCAGGTCAGGTTAGGTTCTGATCAAGTAGTTTCCATTAAGGGCAGGCCTCTCTTACAAAAATGCTCTGGTGTAGTTTGATACAATCACTTTTCCCCTTTCTCCCTGCCACAAGCATGACAGGATTTGTCTCTAGATCTTCACAGTGAAGGTGTGTAAAGATCCTGGAGGTAGACCCCAGGAGAGTGTAACTAACCCACTAGAGTTTTTAACTCTCAAGCTAGTCCATGCTCAGCCTTCAGCAATCCACCTATTATCATGTGACTGTTCCTATCAGTTACTGGGCGTCCTGGTGTGGCGCTGCGGGTTAATGCACTAGACTACCAAGTCAGTTGGATCTACAAGGTTGGTGGTGCAAGTTCAACAGAGTCATTATGGGTCGGAACCAACTCGATGGCACTCAATAACAACACTACCAGTTGCTGACTTTCATGGTTTTTACTTCTGTTTAGCGGATCTTGATTATAATCTTCCGATTCACTTGTCTGCCCAGTATTGAGGGTTGTGGTTTGCCTCGGGACCTCAATTCTTTGATGGATATGTGGAAAGTTCTTGATTTTCCATTTGTCCAGTTGTTTCTTTCAGTAAGAAGATTGAACCGCTGACCTTGCAGTTCAAACCGACCTTGCAAGTCCAGTGCATTAGCTCACAGAGCCACACCAGGACTGTTCTCTTTATAGAGTGGAGCTGACAGCTGAAGTCTGCTTTCTCTAGAATAAGTTTTTTGTTTTTTAAGTTAAACAATTGAGAAGACTTTGACTTAATTATTAGGTGTTATATCCTCTACACAGGAAAGTGACACATACCTCCTCTCTTTTCAATACATACTGTACTCTCTTGAATATAGAACAGTATTTTTAATAAATGGTATTTGGTGAATGATGTGCTTGTAGTGATGCGTATGGGTTAAGAAATAAATACAAGTTCTATGGTAGGATTAGAGACTCACTATTATTGAGGTGAGAGAACAAAAAATCATTTGTTTTTCACATTCTTATTTGCATGTGGTCGAATTTGAGCTTTGGAATTACATCCTGAAAATCTCACGGTAGCGTCCACTGGCTCTTTTTTCTCCCCTGTTGTCCAGTCTGGCTCAGAAAGTCAGATAACTCAGTTTCATTAAATTCACTAAAATTATTTTCTATGCTGAGAATGATCTAGTAATTTATTTTGTAGCTTATCTGAAGTTTACTTGCTAAGTTAGAAGCATTTCAGGGGAGAATTTAGAACAGTTTAATGGAAGGATCTTTATATTACTTTTAATCTTAGTCTCTAGAGTAAGTTTTTGTTGTATGCTGACTAATACCCTTTCAAAAGGTATAAAGACACCCAACATTTGTATACTGCTTTATGGTTTACAAACTGCTTTTCACATATATATCACCTCCTTTGATCCTCACAGCCACCTTAGGCAAATTACTTACGTTTCCTTGTTCTTTATAGTCTCTATCTGTAAAATAATAGAACCTTCTTCATAAGCTTGTTTTGGAGACTGCATGTGCTAATTTATGTAAAGCATGTAAGGCAGTGCCAAGCCCAGTAAGAACTATACATTACATGCTATCTGTATGTAGTTATTGGACTTTATTATTATTTTTTTTATACATGAAAGAACTAAAATTTCAAAGACGTGTCCTAATTACTAAGTGCTGCCGTAAGAGAATGACCACAAGTGGGTGATTTTCATTATTGGAAATATATTTTCTCACCGTTCTAGAAGTTAGAAGTCCAAAGCAGGGACTCAGCCATGTCAATTCCATCTGTGGGTCTCTCTCAATAGCTTTTAGTGACTGATGACATTCTTTGCTTGTGAACAATGCTCACATGGTATCTGTCTTCACCGTGAGTGTTTGCTGTTAAGTGCCATTAGGTCAGTTCTGACTCGTAGAGGGTTTCCAAGGAGCAGCTGGCCAGTTTGAACCAAACTTGTGATTCAAATGACCTTGTGATCCAGTGCTTATCCTACAGTGCCACACCAGGACTACATAGATGGTGGTGATGGTTGTGTGCCATGGAGTTGGTTCTGATTTATAGTGGTCCTGTATTGAGTTTTAGAGGCATGGCTAGTGAGTTTGAACCATGAACCTTGTGATTCAAAGCGACCTTGTGGTCCAGTGCTTGTCCGACAGCCCCACACCATGACTCCTTGAGTGTGTGTCTATCTATTCTGGTCTCTATATAACTCAGAAATGATTAAGGTGGGATTTTTGACAGCAGCATGGAAACCAAACAAGAGGAGGCAGAAGTAGGTGCTGGTTAGGAAGAATGCAGCAATAATCCTGGTGAGAAATGAAGAGGCTTGAACCATCTATAATGGCAATAAAAGCCAAGATAACTAATTTAGAGACGTACGCTATAGAAGTGGTAGGCTGCGTGAGCGACTGGCTCTAAGGGGAATATGGGGAGAGCAAAGCGTAGGAGACTGGATGGAGGATAGAACCACCAGAAGAGACGGAACACAGCAAAAGTAATGATTTCAAGGTTGTCAGTAAAAACAGGAAATGAGAACGCACTTGTTAATGCATTTAGTAAATGCTCGAGAGGAGCGGAGTGGAGCAGGCTTGTTTGGATGGGAAATATCCTAGCATGTCTAAGAATATAAAGGAGTCCTTGTGTGGCATACAAGGTAAGCACTGGACTGTTAACCGAAAGGTCCGCAGTTCTAATTTACCAGCCGCTCCCTCAGATACTCTGTACAAGGTCGCTATGAGTTAGAACTGTAGACGGTACTTAACAACAAACAACAACAAAGAATAGAAAGAATGCTAACCATGAAAATAGAGGGATAAAGATTTGGGACACCAAGTGGATGATTCACAGGATGAGTTTTCTGCATCCACCAGAGCAGAGATGGGGGACGCAAAGGTTATCAGTAGACGGCTCTGCTTAAAGGGGAAGGAACCTATCAGCTGTAGGTTTGCTAGGAGGACATGGGAATAGGTACAGATTTATATACATTTACAGGCAAAAATTGTGGGAGGGGGTCTCAATAAGAACCTAAATTTCATGGTGAGAAAGAATACAAGAGTCTCTCCACTAAGAATGAAGGGGATAGAAGTTACACAATTTGACCTTCAGTTTCATACTTGCTCCAAAGGACTGGGAAGTTAACTGCTTAACCTCAGGCATGTGAATACAGCAAGACTGCTATTTTATCCTACTTACATTGGATGACAACTTTTAGTCTTCCTTATTTTACTCCAGTTATACATTGTGCCAGTTGTGCGAATAAGAATACAAGATAATGGGAAAGAATTTTGTACAAAGTACTATTGTTCATACCTTCAGAATTATTAACACACAATTCAATTCCAACACAACATTTATTGTAATGAACTCTTCAGTACCTTTTGCAAAGCCTCTTCTGTTTTTTCAGGGTTTGTTTTGAGGGCTTGAGAAGCATCATACATAGGAATTGGCATAAATCTCAATGTGTAGTTCCTAGATGAAACGAGAAGATAATGTTTATTTTAAAATAACTTCCTATTATTATGCTAATTCAGAAACCTTTAAATTAAAACGTTGTTTTCTAAGAGTAGTTTAGAAAATTTGAAAATGCCAGCTCATCTTTGGCCCCTAGAGCACAGATCCATCTTTCTCGATATGCACATGTGCAGAGTCACGGACAAGCTTATTAATCCATGCTGCCTGACACAACTAACACAACTAGAAGCAATGGGGTTTTGTTGTTCTGTTTTTGTCTTTGGATTACATTAAGAGTTTCATAATGGGGCTAAAAAGACAGAGACAGCAGAACCAAGCCAAAAGATAAAAAGATCAGCACTTTGGCCACTTGCTTCCTGCATCTTAGTGGCCAAAGATCCGAATGTACTTAGATCACCATAGTGACTGGGAGTGATAGCCAGATCCAAACTGGCAAAAGAAAAAACAAAAACAATTGTTTTTTTTTCTAAAACAAAGTCTATTAGCATCTACAAAAATCATCTGTCCAGACTCTTGGCTCTGTTAAATGAGTACGTTTACTCATTTAGAAAGGCAGCTAGAAGACTCACTGTTTCTTGCCAGACTAAACATTACTGACCTATTAAGTCCTTTGAGTTTGCAAGATCAGCACCTGGTCCACCAGACTCTAGGAAGCAAATGAACAATGTGGGGTGCTATGTCTGTATATCACCTCACTGTTGACCAACTAATTAGAAAGAAAAATGCAGGGCGGGTCACTTATGTGACAACATCAAAATCTTGGCCCCAGCCTTTGGTCTTGACCCTGCTACAAACCGGTCATATGTCCAGATGACTCATACCACCTGCTCTTAGGCAAACTATACTTGGAGATGCCCTCTCTCTCCTGCTCCAACATGCAGCTGTCCATTTCTATAGCCTGGCATTCAGGAAGAGGGACTTTTTTTGGCCACTGGGTGGCAACTGCAAAATCCTTACTAGGATTCCCATTAGAATCACACAGCTGGCTTACTTTAGATTGCTAAATAAACAGGAGTCCTGGTATGGCACTTCAGGGTAAGCACTGGACTTTCAACTTCAAGGTTGGCAGTTCAAACCCACCAGCAGTCCTTAGAATACCCTATACAGAGTCCCTGGAAGTCAGAACCAACTTGACAGTATTTACCAACAAATAATAAGCATGGAGCAGGGAACAGTGACTAAGCTCTTGGCCACTGCTAACTGAAAGCTGGGTGGTTCAATCCCACCGGCCAATCCTCAGGAGAAACATCAAGCTATCTGCTTCTGTAAAAATGTACAGTCGCAGAAACCCTATAGGACAATTCTACTCTATCTATGGGGTTGCTATGAGCCGGAATTGACTGGACAGCAGTGATGATAAATAATAAGTCACACAGATATTTATATGAGTTTTGTAGACTGACTCCTGAAATAAGGTATTAATGAAGAAAACTACCAATCATCTTAATAACAGCAGTCACTTAAATGAGTAATAGCTACTCAAAAATAATCATTCATACCAACTTATGTATATATGATATGTATACATACTAACTCTTCGGATATTTTGTATTAAGCCACTCTATGTTGTTGTTAAGTGTCATCGAGTCAGTCCCTACGCATAGCAAACCAGTATAGGGGTTTCTGAAGAGAGGCTGGTGAGTTTGAACCGCCAACTTTGCAGTTCAAAGTGACTTTGCAGTCCAGCGCCTTAACCCACAACACCACATCAGGATTTCAAATCATATATAGAAAACATTTTATTATAAGGATATTTTGGAATAAGAGCAACTTATAGAGTGATTTAATACAAAATAATTGAAGAGTTACATCTGTAATAAAATATATAAACTTCCTATATATGATGTGAAGTCCTGGTGTGGTGCTGTGGGATAATGCACTGAACCGCAAGGTCCGCAGTTCAAATTCACCAGCTGCTCCTCGGAAACCCTATACAGGGTTCACTATGAGCCGGAACTGACTCAATGACACTTAATATTAACAAAATACATGATGTACACACACACATTCTATAAAGCTATATTTCTATAATTTTAGCTTTTACCTTAGCTTTATTTTCACAAAAAAGCTTTTGTTTGCCATATAGAAACCAGTCAATTGAAACAAGGACAGTATGTCTACTGTATAAGACCTGAAGGTTTTCCTTGCCTGAATCCAATTTTTACCAAGCCAACCCAACATAGTTTAATTTATTGAAACTGAATGTGATTTTGAACGGTTTTGCATCTTGGTGCACAGTGTGCACAATAGACTAGAATCTACGGGCCACCAGCACTCTGGGAATGATGACCACTGGGCATGCTCTGGTGGTTTACAACAACATCCATGAAGGCACTGTGCCATTAACATCAAAATGCAGCTATCTGTAAGTAAATGTTCCCATTTAGGGACTCTGAGGTACAATAGGAGTCATCTCAAGCGTGTCTACAGTCACAGAAGGATCCTGGGAAAGGTGGCCTTGTGGACTGGATGGTGTAAACTGCCTTTCTCATATTTAGCCGTGGCCTGGAGTTGGGAATAAGGAAGAAGACTGAGGGGCTGAACCTTTCCGTATTGTGGTGGCAGCATCTTTAACCTTTTGGCTCAAGTAGAACCATGGGATTTAGCACTGAAAGGCACTTGTTATTGTTGTTGGTAAGTGCCTTCCAGTAGGTTCTGACTCATAGGGACCCTGAACAGGGTTTCTGAGGAGTGGCTGGTGGGTTTGAACTGCTGACCTTTTGGTTCAACTTGCTCTTATGAAAAAAAAAAGCGGTAAGATCAGGATCACAGGTGTATTGGTGACATAGTTGGCACCTAAATTTGTTGTTGTTAAGTACCAAATTTGATGTACTAAACACTAAATTTGTTGAATCGTTAGGACTCATAACAACCCTTTATAGATTTTCCAAGGAGCAGTGGGTGGGTTTGAACTGATGACCTTGTTTTGTTGTTAGCAGTCCAGTGCTTATCCTACAGCACCACACCAAGATTGCAGAAATTGAATGGAGAGTCCCTATTGCTTGTCTGGGATTGTGTCCAAGACACTGTGTTGAGCACGGCAGCTCCTCTTCTGAGGCCTCCTATATAGAGGGATATCTGGGAAAACAAAATACTGAGCACTTACTCCCCCACTGCTCAAGGGAAATGGCTTCTAGCTAGGCCCAGACCAACAAAAGCAAATGACTGGGACTGCTTATTTATGCTTATTGAAGCATATCAAATTATGATTCTTCTGCTACCTTCTCAGGAAAAAACAGTTTGCAGAGCTGGGCATTCCACGTAATTTAACATGACCCTGTTATTTCCTAAGTTGTTACTCTTAGCTAACCAGCGAAATCCCAGTATATGATGCATACTTTGTGCCTTGACTTTATCCTGACTCTTAAATTCTTTAATAGTGCTATTATTCTGTATTCCTTTGATAAGTCATTGTTTGTTAAATGATAATTCTAGCAAGATTTCTAAATCATCTGTTTTCCTTGGCTATTTTTTCTCCTTCCTAGGTATCTGAGCTGTTAAAAGAGAAATTTACCAATAGTGATGATGATCTTAAGAATTCTAAATAAAGGTATTTTTAAAAGCAAAAATTCATTTATAAACTATTTATTAACATTTTAGTCTCATGTTTTTAATGCTTTCAATCTGCTTCAGCCATTTCTGTCTTTATACAATAGAATATGAGGGTTGAAACCCTTAGAAATAACCAGATTCCTAGTCTTGTTTTCATCCATATAAAGTATCTTTTCATTTCTTTTATTGATGTTCTGAGAACATAAGGTAATTAATTTAACAATCATTAATACTTACAGACTTTGTTATTGAGGTAATAGAGAAAACCTTTTATGGTAAAGATATGTTAGCTCCAGGCTTAACATTTCTCAATTTCACTTTCTGAATTTTAGCTTCTTTCTCAATTAACATTGGATTAAAAATGGTCACAATGGCCAAAAGAGCAGGACCTGTGAATACATACTATGAAACTTCAAGGAGGAGGAAATAAGGCAACCATCTCAGTGGATTTGCTCAGTGACTTCACTTAGTCTTCAAGACAAGCCAGGTATTCCTTTACCAGGGCAGGCATTTCTGCTCCCATTTTTCAGATGAGAAAAATCACACCAGAAGAAATTCCCTGTCTGCCAAGTTTCCTTGGCTGGTAAGTAAGTAGCAGTCTATATGCAGACCCAGATCTCCTGATTCCCAGCCTACTGCTACTTCTATTTTCCCACAGATAACATGAAGACTTGTTTCTTCTGTATTTTTCCAGAAAGAAATTCTAATTTGAACTTACTTTTCCATAGCAACAGCTATATCTTGAAAGCCTTGAGCAGTGATATTGTTCTTGTCCCAAATTACAGTCCTGTTGGAAATCACATAAGTGGTCAGACACTTAGGAATGGAGGAAACAATTCTTTCATTGAATAGCAGTCTCTTAGAGACGACACTGTGTAGATATTTTGGTACAGTGGCATCATGTGTGCAAGGGATGAAGTTCCTCTTTGTTTCAAACAAAGCCAGGATGAGCCTTTTCTCCAACAGTATCTCCTTAAAATCACTCCAGTAGCATGAAAAAAAACTGTACTTAAAAGAAACAACACATGCCATTAATTTACCATTAAGTTATCCAATGATTTACTAGCCAGAAATCTCTAAAACCAGATTTCTCTGATATTCTCCAATAGTATTCTGGTACTCATGCCTGAAGCCGAGGCAATTTACAGAAGATGTTACAGTCTCAGACCCAACCAAAAAACATCACAGTTTCTTTAACCTTTTCCACTATAAATAACTAAAGGAGATCGTGTCATATTTTATCACCCTGACGTGCTATGATTAGCGACCCAAGGAACTGGTAACACCTCACTCACTCAGCAGGCAAAACCCCTGTTAATATTAATAGGAGATTTCTTTTTTCTTTTTGGTTCCCAAGTTTTATTCAAGGATTTACAACAAAATATTCCAGATTAGTGAGTTGTAATACTCATCTTCATCCTGGTTAATCTGGAAGTAACGCAATTCATAACTTTCTTTGCTGTTAGCAACTACGTGTAACCAAGCATGTAAACTAGTCTTCAAATAATTTTTGATAAGATATTTCAAATACCTTTTGGAAAAAGGCACCTTAGAGGTTACAGTAATCTTGCTCTAGCGTTTTTCCATACCTGCAACCCCTACACCAAGATTACTAGCTTTCTCTTTCCCTTTCATTTTTTCTTGAAGAAACTGCTAAAAATTGGCAGCATCCATGATATCATCTTATACAGGGTGGGTTCAGTCAACCGTGAATTTCAGAGCCAGCTTCTTCCCCCCTTCCACACAAACTTTTTCACAGATGCCATGGTGGCAGCAGAGGCAGAAAGGCTCTTATTTCTTAAGCACAGAATCTGTGTCGAAATATTTATGTATCTCCAGTATGTATATACCACAAAGGTACTGTGTGGTTCTTATTGTTAAGCGCCATCGAGCCGGTTCTGCCTCACAGTGGCCCTGCATAGGATTTCCGAGGAGCAGCTGGTGGATTTGAACTGCTAACCTGGTAGCTAGCAGTCCAGTGCTGATCTTACAGAACCACACCAGGACTCCACTGAGGAACTTTAGGACTTGTCAGTTCACCATGACACCTGAAATGGCTTTTCTCTGTGGGGATGATCCATATCATTATCTCTACTGCCTTCCTTTCCTAATCTCAACGGCTTTCTTTACAGACATGCTGACCTTCAAAGACATTACTGCTGCTTTATGGCTTTTGGCTTCAGTTTAGACTGAAGATTCAGACTCTGTCTTATGCTGGAAAGTAAGGGAATTATTAGGAAAGAACCTTTGGGAAGCAATGTGAATGAACTCTTCACAGACTACTGGAGAGTAAAGAACTTGGCTTTGAACCAGTGGACTTCCTGTACCAACTTGAATTTTAAGTCTTGAAAGTAGCAGGGGTGGCAAGTGGAAGATAAAACCTTGGGGTCTGTCTTAGCTGTCTACTGCTGCTATAACAGAAATAACACACCTAACACAAACCGAGTCTCATTAACGTAATGACGAGAATCCATTTCCACATGGGATTATAACTACAGGCATAGAGGTCAGAATTTATGACACATATTTTTGGGGAACACAATTCAATCCACAACAGGCTCACAGCTGAGCACATGCAAACATCTACTTCAAACTTGTCAACTCTGCTCATTTGGTGCTACCTCCACAACCCTAGGGAACACTGCCTTAACCCACACACTGGTCAGCTGACCACACAAATATAAAGTAGGGGAAAACTACAGCTCAGAGAGTCAGGTTTTACCTCATAATACAAATAGTAAAGACAATAGTCTGAAGTGATCACAATGCCTAAGTTTGGGGACACGCTTTAGTATTTTGAAAAAAGGCTTGAAATAGTCTCTTCTTCTCTTCTTCCTAGTTACCTCATGGGAAGCTTAGCCTCCCCCCATACTAGCCAGTCCTCCACTGCTTAAAGTTAGACTCTTTGCCCAAGCTTTCCTCAGAATAAAGGGCCAGGGAGTCATGCTGTGTACCTCAGCTTGGTGTTGATCTGCAGCGCTTTCGCCAGCATCTTTGCTCCCATATCCCCCATTGCGTTTCCACTGATGTCCACTTTGGTGAGGGAAGTGTTGCTTCCCAGGGCATTAATTATGATGGTGACCTCGGTCTTGAGCTTCGAGTCTGCCAGGGACAGTGACTGTAGTGGCTATGGAGTAAACAACACACAGGACTCGTTAACAGTCTCAGAGCAGCAATCAAATTCAACAACCATCTCAAAGGAGAATTACAAGGGGATGCACTCAATGCATGAAGGGTCTGGTTTTGCAAATGTTGGCTCCAACACTTCAATGAATAAAACCTGAAGGTTTGGCATAAAATGACACTTTGGCATCAAATTTGGAGAGCTTGTGTTGTAATGTTCAATACCTACCACTTATTCTTCTCAAGCAAACTATGGAAAATATGTAGAGTGGCAGATGCCAGCTCCTTAGAAGGATAATGAAATACTTCTACCATCAAATTGATTCTAACACCATGTACATCAAAGCAGAACTGAACTCCATGGGGTTTAGAGTGGCTGATTTTTCAGCAACAGATATCCAGACTTTTAATCTGAGGAGTCGCTGGGTGGACTTGAACTAACAACGTCTTGGTTAGCAGTCAAATATTAACCACTGCACCTTTTGGACAACACCCACTGCCATCAAGTTGGTTCTGACTCAACCAACCTTGAAGTGACCTTCAAGGACAGACCAGAACTGTCACTTGAGTTTCTCAAGACTAAGTATTTATAGGAGCAGACAGTCTCATCTTTCTCCTGAGTTTCGGCCGGTGGATTTGAACTGTTGACCTTGCAGTTACCATTCCAAAGGGTAAGCCACTACACCACTAGGGCTCCTTCTTTGGTGGGTAGTCTTATGTGGTGCTGTAGGGTAAGAATTGGACTGCTAATCACAAGGCTGGCAATTCAAACTCACCAGTCACTCCTCAGAAACCCTACATATGGTTTCTGAGGAAGTGACTCCATGGCACTTAACAACAACCAGATAAAAACTCTATAGAAAAAGTTCTTGGCAGAAGTAGGACTTCACTATCCATTTTCACCCATTGAATTTTTATACAAAAAATCCTCAGAGAGGACAAATGGCAAAAGTAAAACCAGCTAAGGCTAATAATTGGGTTCAGCACTGGGCTGCTAACAAAAAAGGTTGGCAGTGAGAACTCACCATCCAGTAAGCTCTGGTAGCGTAGTGGTTACAAGCCGGGCTGTCAACTGCAAGGTCAGCAGTTTGAAACTACCAGTGGCTCCACAGGAGAAAGATGAGGCGTTTTGCTCCTGTAAAGATTTACAGCCTCGGAAACCCTGTACAGGCTTGCTATGAGTTGGAGCCAACTCCATGGTACTTAACAACAACAACATCTGTTTCTGTAAAGATTTATAGCCTTGGAAACCACCCTAGGGGCAGTTCTATTCTGTCCTATGGTCCCTATGAGTCAGGAGGGACTCGATGGCAGTAGGTTTGGGGATTGGGGGGGGCGGCAATGCAGGAAGGTTTATTTTTCTTTTGTCCTGCATTGTATCTGGGGGAAAAAAAGGAAAGGAACAACATTAATAGGGCTGAGAAGTGAGGCTGGTAAGACTTCACCTCTTGTTCTTTGGGCATGTCAAGTGGGACCAGTCCCTGGAGAAGGATATCATGCTGAAGTGGAGGGTCAGTAAAAAGAGGAAGACCCCCATGAGATGGACTGAGACAGTGGCAGCAGCAATGAGCTCAAACTTAACAATGATACTCATTGAAGCAATGAGGCTGGCAGAGGACCGGGCAGTGTTTTGTTCTACTGTGAATAAGGTCGCTATGAGTCAGAATTGCTTTGACAGTACCTAACAACAACAAAGCAATGTCAAAGTTAGAACTCAAGCTTCCCTGACAGTTTTGGACATATTCTAGGTGAAACTGGGGTATTCTAAATTTGGACTAGCCCCACTCCACATAAGCAGCTCTTACACGGCAGGGCAATGGATGCTGGAAGCAACTTGTAGAGTCATCCATGACCAGGTAGCTTGGTGGACTGTGGCAAAGGAGCTCTGAAGATGTGTATAGGTGGTCTGCACAGTGGCACACAAACTTAACCAGGAGTGTCATCTGTACCCACTCTATCCATGAACACCGACTTCTACAACAACACTCTGAAGGGTGCTCTACAAAGAGGCCACAGGCGCCAGAATGAGGGTGCTGATGGTTTCTAGACTCCAATACCACTAAAGTTGCAATAAGAGGTTTGTTGTTTTGGGCCATCAAGTCAGTTCTGACTAATAGTGACTCTATATAGAGTTCACAGGAGTCCTGGTGTAGTGCTGTAGGATAAGCATCAGGCTACATGGACAGCCTGAATCACAAGGCGGGCAGTTCAAATTCCCTAGCCGCTCCTGGGAAACCCTAGACAGGGTCACTGAGTTGGAACTTACTTGATGGTACTTAACAACAACATTGGCTTTCTAAGCGTGGCTGGCGAGTTTGAACTACTAATCGTGCTGTTAGAAGTCCAGTGCTTATCCTACAGTAACAGAGCTCATTATGGGTTTATTGCTCCTGTTGTTAAATGCCATTGAGTCAGTTCCAACTCATAGAGTCCCTGTAAATGGTTTTTCAAGGAGTGGCTGGTGGGTTTGAACCTCTGACTTTGCTCAGGAGCTCTGGTAGCATAGTGGTTACGAATCTGGCTGTGAACCGCAAGGTCAGCAGTTCGAAACTACCAGCTGTTCCGCGGGAGAAAGATGAGGCTTTCTGCTCCTGTAAAGATTTACAGCCTCGGAAACCCTGTATAGGGCCACTATGAGTCGGAACCAAGTCCACGGCACATCGCCACCACCAGTCCAGTGCTCACCCTATAGCACCACACCAGGGCTCCAATTACAGTTTTAGTTATAGTTATTTCAAGGGATATATTTGTAGTTAAAATTTGATTAAGTTACCCAATCTTAATATGGTGGTGGTGCTTATGTGCGCTGGAGTCAGTTGCGACTCATAGCGACCCTGTACAGTGTTTCTGAAGGAGCTCTGGTAGCGTAGTGGTTACGACTTGGGCTGCGAACCTCAAGGTCAGCAGTTTGAAACTACCAGCTGCTCCGCGGGAGAAAGATGAGTCTTTTTGCTCCCGTAAAGATTTACAGCCTCGGAAACCCTGTACAAGGTTGCAATGGGTCAGAACCAACTCGACGGCACTTAACAACAACAACAACAACAACAGGGTTTCCGAGGCTGTAAATCTTTACAGGAGCAGAAAGCCTCATCTTTCTCCCGCAGAACAGCTGATAGTTTCAAACTGCTGACCCTGAGGTTAGCAACCCAATTCGTAACCACTACGCTACCAGAGCTCCTAATGTTAATATAAATTATGGTAAAATTAAGGACAATATGGTGATGTATGTTGGTGATGGTTGCACAACATGATTGACATATTAGTTCCACTGAATTGTACAAGTGAAAAATGTTGAATGGACACATGTTGTTTCATCTATGTTTTTAAAACAATAAATAAGGTACTTTGTTGTTGTAGTTAGGTGTTGTCAAGTCGGTTCTGGCCCATAGTGACCCTGTGTAGGATTTCCAAGGAGCAGCTGGTGAGCTTGAACCACGGACCTTGCAGTTCAAAAAAGGTACTATTGACTATTAATTAAGGATCTTTGATAGCATAGTGGTTACAAGTCAGGTTGCTAACCTCAAGGTCAGCAGTTCAAAACTACCAGATGTTCTGCAGGAGACAGATGAGGCTTTCTGCTTCCCAAAGATTTACAGCCTTGGAAACTCTATACAGGTTGTTACAATTTAGAACCACCTCCATGGTACACCACCACCACCACCACTAGTATTAATTAGAATCAAATTTTTAAGTTAAACGACATGGCAAATGTTAAAGCAATGAAAAACCTTAGCTCAAGAGCCTGCATATTTTAGATTCAGATCAATTTCACGACACTGCTTTACATTTTCTTTGAGATCCTATGCTTAAGCAAAAATTTTAAGTTTAGTAAAAATGCTTCTGATTCAGGAAACATAGTATTTAAACATAAACAAATGCAATATTGCTTTAATAAAATGCTGTAATCACATCTCTCATCACTTTGATAATCTCTCTTCAACAACTACAAAAAAAATGATGCATTACAGCTTCTTCTTCGTACTGGAAAACTGCCAAGTCTACAAGCATGTGAGTAACAATTCCAGTACTATATTCAAATTCTAATACACCCCAGTTAACACTTAAAAATAATAGGCAAAGTCATTAATGTGAACAGAGCAGCCTGAATTGCATGCATATTTATAAGGTCATCCCTTCTCGAGTTATTACACGTTCATGTAAATTATTTGGAATCTTACAATTTCTTCGTGTACCTGAACATGCTTTTCTGAAAATCTGTTTTATTTCTACAGGCATTCCCCAAAAGAAACACGTTCCGTCCTGCTGGTTACAACATAGACTTTGAACAGAAAATATATCAAATTAAGATTCTCTGTCACAATAGTTCTTCAATGTTACCGTCCCCTAACTCTGGGCCCAGCAGCCTGCCTACCACTGTCTTTGGCTGAAGGTGACACCTGAGCTCTCAGGTATCTATAGTTACACACACAATGGAACATGCAACACTGGGAAAATAAACACTTCCGTGGACTGTCAGTGAACCAGCTCTACAATCAAAACATCAGAATGTAAAAACCAAACAGACTACCTTTAAATATTTAAATCCCTTAAAAAAAAAATTTTTTAAGTCCAATTGTGCCAATTATTGGTGGAATTTTTGTCATCACAAGACTCAACTTCTAATCATTCTACATTGTTTTGCACATTACTAATTCAGAAATAGAAAAAAAAAAGATAATTGCTTTTCAAAAGTCACCAATTTTTTAATGACATGAACATAAAAAGCCTTTTCATGGCGTGACATTATTAACAGCATGCTATTGTATCCTGAAACTCGACAGAAAATCGCATTTACATAGCAAATTTTATCTTCCACAAATATGTTTTTAGGTATGTTCTAAATACCAAGACTATTTTTAAGTGGGGGACTTTTAAAAGTCACAGAAACAAAACTTAAAGATCTTCATATAAGTAAAACATGAATAAATAATTTTTTTCTTAAACTATGTGCTAAGAAATAAGTATTTGAAGATGAATATTAAACATGATTCTGCAGTATTAGATTCTTCCCATCCTTCAAACCTGAACCATTATTGGGAAATCAGAAATCTAAATAAAGCAGACCAGTGTACAGTTAAATTTAATAAGTAAAACAAACATCATCAATTCTGTAAACTGTAAATTACAATCTAATTACACCCCTAAGTTAAAAAACCCAGAATAAGAGTAACAAAACATGACATTTATTAGCAAATGAGAACAAAGAAAAGTGCGGGAATTCATTAAAAAACAGTGAGTTTCATTTGTTAACTACTATATCTACACAATGAAGAGGCAGAGAACAGAATTTTCCCTAATCCTCTATTTTACAACCACACCACCACCACCAAGACACAGTACAACTAAGCCCTAGGATTTTCTTGGTTGAAATATTTATGAAAGCACACTGCCAGCCCTTTCCTCTGCTGTGCTGCTGTCTGTTACAATCCACTTGTCAATTAGTACTCAGCTGTAAACTCTGCCACCCAGAGACCTTGTCCTCCATTTCAGATACTCCTACAGTGATGTAGGCAAGGGGAGGGAAAAAATTCCAGTCCCCATAGATAGCTTTGCCAGAAAAGCTAATTGACTGTTATAATAGAACTTGCTGTTACCCATCTGAGTTCAAAAAGAGAAATGAAACAGCTTCCTTTCTGTTTCCCACTGTAGCATATACTCCACATGACCTGTTGAGGTAGTTTATAATAAAACATGAACTATAAAAACTGAGCTTGGTAACCAAATAGGACTGAGAAAGGAAAGGGATAAAAGTCTCCAACAGTATCTAGATAAGGTGGGACATTGGAATTCTAAATTAAATGGATTAATGGTAGGGTGCTCTTACTTTGTTTATAAAATACCTTTTTCTTTTTCTAATGCATTGTCAAGGGCAGCAAAACAGGATGCTATCTGAAACTAAGTTTGTTTATCCTGGACCTAGTGTTGGTCAGGAGCAATTAAAGGAGGTAAAAATATAAAACAGATTACTATAGTCTATTAACTTTTTCCTCCATTTAAAACCATCTTTTATATTCTGTAATCTACCTGACCTCCTCACCACTTGGATCTCTGTTCCTACATTTTCCCCTTTGACACTGTTATTATTTTGATCTTTGGTTGACCTCCCAGCTCCTTTGAGTTCTTTATTGTAATTTTGTTCTGTTCTGGACTCTGCTATCCATCCTCTTAGTTTCAGGTGGTGTTACACCTGTCAGGCTCTGGATGTTGTCTGTTCTTGTTGGTTTTCAGTCCAAAGAACTCCCATTAGGATGTTTTGAAGGGCTGGACTGACTCTGAACAAAATCTCTTAGCTTCTGTTTATCCTAGAATGTTTTGATTGCACCATCGTATTTGCTTGGTAGTTTTGCTGGATAGATGATTTTTGGTTGGCAGTTTTTCCTCTTTTAGGATTTTGTATATGTCTTCCCATTGCCTTCTTGCCTACATGGTTTCTGCTGAATAGTCAGAGCTTAATCTGACTTGCTTGCCTTTGTAAGTAAGTAACATCTTTCTTTTCCCTGGCTGCTTTTAGGATTCTCCACTTGTCTTTAATTTTAGAGACCTTGATTATTATATGTCTTGGTGATTTTCTTTTGGGGTTTATCCTTCCTGGGGTACGTTTGGCTTCTTGAATGTTTATCTTCTCATCTTTCAGGATGTTAGGGAAATTTTCTTCCCAAAGCTCTTTCACCATCTCCTCTGAGGACTTCTCTGATTCTTCCTGTTATGGAATGCCAGTAATTATTAACTTGTTCCTCTTCATGTTATCCAGCATGAATCTTAGACTCTCTTCAGATTTTTTTTATCCTTTCTGCTTGCTCTTCTAGCTTAGCAGTACTGAGAGATTTGTCTTCCAGCTCGCTGGTTCTGGCTTCCATCTCTTCAATTCTATCTACTCCTTTGCCCTTTCAGTGTATTGTCCATTTCTGGTATTTTATTATTAATCATCTGGACCTCTTTTTGTAGGTTTTAAATGGTTTCCAATGCTCTATCAATCTTTTTGGTTGCTCTTGTAGTACTTTCCTGACTTCTTCCTTGTTTTCCTCTACCCCTTTTTGGAGCATTTGAATTTGTTTCCATATCATTCTTCTGAATTCCTTCTCAGGCTACTCCAAACCCTGCTCTTCCTCTTCTAGAAAGCCTTTGTCTTGTCTCCAGCTCATTTGTCTCAGCTATTCTTTTCTGTTTTGGGACATGTTTTAATATCTTTTATTGTTTTTTTGTTCGTCATTTCCAGTGGTTATGTGGATTTTTAATGCTTAAATGGATGTTTGTTGCTGTGTTATTAAGCTTGCTGGGTGTCTCCTGGTGGATATGATCAGGGGATAGGCTTCCCTTTTTGCTTGTAATGCTTAGGAGCTGTTATTGGCTCTTGTCTCAATGGTAGAATATTATGGGGTATGCTTGTAGCTTGGCTATATGGTCACGATTGCGGATTCTTCTTGGGTAATGTAGGGAGAAAAAGCTCCCACCTCCAGGAACAATGTGTGATCAAAAGGCCCCAAAGTAGAAGGAATATAAAAACAGAGACAAGAACCACCACTTTGAAACAAACATAAAACTGTGGCCGACTGTCCAGTCGCCTTGCTTCACAGGCAGTGTGTGTACTCCGTAGAAGCCTCCAGTAGTGGGTGGGGGTGTCCACTCCCTTAGGCCCCTCCTGTAGCCACCACAGTAGAGGTGCACAGATAGATACTGAGAAGTTAATGGGAGAAATATTGTCTATTATTTTTGTCTCGGAAGGTCAGCTAGTTATTTGCGTGTGTACAGTGTAATTCTTGAAATAGTTGCATCTTTTTATGTTGGGGTTTTACAGATTGTTCATATGGTTTGTCTGTCAGGCCAAACCTCCTTTTTTTCTTACTGGATAGGCAGGGGTAAAGGGCCCCGCACAAGTTAACTTTAGGGAAGGGACCCACAGGCAGAAGCCAAAAGCAGCAGCCAAAGAATCTGCCCTTGGACTGATGGGGCTCTTTCTCTCTGTGCCATGGGAAAGCTGTGGTCTCAATGCTGGACATTTTTGGGGGTGTGTACCCACTTGCCTAAGGCGTCCGGGCTGGACAAAGAAGGCACAACAGGGAAAAGGAGGAAAAAATGTGTAGAATCCCCCCATACCTCCTTGTGCAAATGTCACTGTGCTGGTTCCCTGTGCAGGTCTGGCTGTAGCCCCGCCCTCTGAGCTCCACCTGGGCAGAGGGAGTGCCGTGTCTTGACAGATTTCTAAATTACAACATTTCCCTTTTTTCGGATTTATCCACTGGCGGTTGCGGGAAACTGACGCCCTGACCCTTATGCTAGATCCAGAGCTCTGGTGCTGTTCCATGACAGGCATCTCTGGGTTTTCAGCCCCTCCCCCACGGAGCCTGTCCTACCTGACTCTGCTCTGCCTCTGCCAAACCGGAAGTCTCCAAGATAGGTTACTATAGCTCAAGAAGAAATTTGCGATGGAGAACTTTTTTAGTGTCTTAATTCCATATAATTACTAGATGAAATTCAAATTAGCAAAATGATGTTTTTCATATGCTATAAGGTCGGAAAGTCAACTAGACTGTAAAAATTCAAGCCTGCAGATTAGTGCATTAACTGGAGTTCTGGAAAATAGTAAGGTTTTATTAAAAGATGAATTTAAGAGTAAATGTATGCTTCTTTTCATCCACGACGTTAAATCAAAAAGTGCATACATGAACTGGAACCCTAATAGCAGTTCTTCTTGACTTATTCTTGTATTAAATACAATTTTCCTTTAATTGGATATGTTGAATGGAGTGAAAAATAAGAAAATTTCAAATATATTCCATAAATCAACTAAAACATTGGTACTCTTTACTTTCCATAACAATAATAGAATATGAAAACTTGGATAAAGTGATTTGAAAGCACATCAGCATTATCCCAGGAAAAATAATTCATAGTAATTGCAAAAATAAACCATTTTAGTTAAAAGTTGAAAATTATACTCACTGATTCTTCATCTTGAATCATCTGCACCAAGTTGTCCAAAACAGGGGTCAGATTTCTAAAGAGATTTTAAAGATGAAGACAATGCAGTTAAATCAGAAGTTTCAGGAAGCTGGTTATTTTCATCATTTAAATATATACTTTTTTAAAACATCAAAATCCTTACTTGGCTTTCATATTATTAAAATTTTTGCCTAATGCCAGGTGTTGTATTGATCTGTTTTTACTGAGCCACACTATTAAGGTCGAGAGGTCCGATTCTAAACCTGTAAAGAATCAGAGTCAGAAGACAATCAAAATCCAGGAGTACAAACAAACTCACAGACACAGTTGGATACCATACTGTCCCCCACCATCATGAGGGGCCTGGGGATTCTATCTTTTATATGGAGAGGAATGTTTACATTTCCTCTTAGTTCACATGAATAGACTCTCACGCTCTACAAAGTCTCACCTCCATCTCTTACACAATCAGCGGCTAAACAAGTCAGCAAGAAATAGGAATAAATACAAGCACAAAGCTTCATCTCTCCCTCCTCACGTTGACAGAAGGTTCTAGTATACCACTCACAGGTGGTTAATGGGAGTTCAACTTTAAAGTCCATACTAACATGTTACTACCATCTGAAGACATCAAGATAATGAAATATACTTCAGAATAAGTAAACAAGACATAATTTTATTATCACCAAGAATGAGAAAGGGTAGACTAGATATTTAATTTTATCAGTGTACTGATGATTATTTTCTTGGCTAACTTTTTGCTGTGGAGTCAATTCCTACTCATGGCAAACCCATGAGTGTCAGAGAATAACTGTGCTCTACAGGGTTTGGCACTATAGGATATAAGCACTGGACTGGGAACCACAAAGTTGGCAGTTCAAACCCACCAGCTGCTCCTCAGAAATCCTATACCGGATTGCCATGAGTCAGAACCGACCTGAGGGCACTTAACAACAACATAGAGTTTTTCATGGATGATTTCTCAGAAGTAGCTCATCAGGCCTTTCTCCTCAGGCAATCCTGTGTAGACTTGGACCGCCAAGCTTTTGATTAGCAGCCAAGCACTTAACTGCATCATGCAAGAACCCCTATTTCAGTGTGTTATTGTTGTTAAAGTGCTATCGAGTCAGTTCTGAATCACAGCAACCCTGTATAAACCCTGCATATTTGGCCATGAAATCCACTTAGTAAGACTTCAATACAGCTTTATTATTCCATCAATAAAACTTTGTTATTAAACCAAAAGTCCTATTAGTCAAGACATACTATCATATTTCTATTAATATTCATAAGGGCTAAAATATTTTCCTTCCTCTACTAACTTGCTTCAAAAATAGGATTTCTGACTTACCATTGTCAGAGATGTCTAAGCTGGTGATGTTGTGGATTTCAGCAATGCAGCCTTCTAATACCTGTGCACCTCCTGATCTCAGCTGGAAAAACACAGATCAAACACAAGATAAAGTCTTCACCTGCTGCAAGCGCAAACCAGAAAAAAAAAAAAAAAAAATTGAGGAGAGTCATAAAAAAATAGTATCAAAGAAAGAAAGTTGGCAAACTCCAAAACAGATATATCAGTGACAGAAAGTCAATCACTAGTTATTAATGCTGATTGTCACACATTAATAACTACTCAAAGTCAAATCAGAAATTAGTAAAAGATGTAAGCATAAAACCACCTAGGTCTGCTGGAAGATTCTAAGAACTTTCTTCATTTATGACTTTTGGAAAATTAACAAATCCCTTTATATGTTTGAAACAGGTGCTGTCTTCTTAGATCTGAAGGGATTAGAGCTATGTAACTCTATACCAACTTAGCAGTAAAACCAAACACACTGCTGTCAAATCAATTCTGATTCACAGAGACCAAAAAAAGGTTTTGAGGCTGTAAATCTTTATGGAAACAGACTTCCTCATCTTTCTCCTAAGGGTGACTGGTGGGTTCAAATTGCCAATCTTTTGGTTAGCTGCCCAATGCTTAACCCACTGTGACACCAGAGGTCCTTTAAAACAACCAAAGGACAATGAAGTCAACCATTTCAAGACTTGGAATGTCAACCATTTCAAGAAGCCATACTTCAGCTAAGTGATTACAAGATGATTTGTGCAAACTCAAGCCACCGAAGAACAAGATGTTTGCTCAACCTAACATATTATAATTGTAACAGGTTCATAATAAAACTAAGAGCATATTACATTCTCTTCTCACTGCCTAACTAACTCCAAAGACACAGGCAACCTATAAAAATCAATACCTTTTATCTTTTCCTAGGAAACCAAAAGCAAATGTTACAGAGTTCATTCGGTAAATGTTGTTCATTTCTGATTATGTATAAGGAGCTGGGCAGGATGCAGTTTCCCAAACTGTGATCCTTTGGCTCAGTAACCTTACTGTCTGATACAGGAACAGAAAGTGCCATTTATTGAAAACATGTGTGCCAAGGCGCATGGAAAACTAAAACATACATGAACATCTCCCAAATTCATAATACAAAGTGATACATTCTACTTGGTCAAATTTTAGTATTTAAAGAATACTTATTTCAGTATTTTAGATACCTGTGCACTGTGAAGTATTTTGATGGTATGTTTAATCTTATCAACGTACAGGGATCTGTCAACTTCTCTGGTTGTTTGTAATGTTAAGTGGAATTCTGCTCAACTTTTGGGATTACTTTTTATTCAGGAGTATTCTATTTGATGTGTTTAAAATTCAGCCATTCCTACTTTTTAGAGCGACAGCAGATTATCGTGAGGTGTTGACATGAGTTTGAAGAGCAAGGTCATAACTCCCATGAGGCTAGTTTAACCTTTAGGGAAACCAAGTCCACAGCTGCAGGGCCTCTCTATCCCACTGTGTGGCGCTACTGCCAAGAGAGAACCAAGCTCACTTCACTACAAATTGTTGTTTTCTCAAGAGCTCTCCACTAATCAGAGCACCCCACTGAGTTATTCCATCATGCCATCTCTAGACTTGGCCCAGCCCTCTACTAATCAAAGTCTTCTTCATCATGGGCTGGTGCTAGTCTCCTAACAGTCTGTTATTGATTTGAGATGAAATAAATACAAAAACCAACTGGAAACATTTTAGAAACCCTGTTCTTGTTAAGTGCCAATAAGAAGGTTCTGTCGATTCATAGAAACGCTGAATAGGGTTTCCAAGGAATGCTGGTAGGTTTGAACTGCCAACCTGTGGCTAGCAGTCCGGTGTTTATCCTACAGTCCATCCATACCAGGACTCAGTAATCATTTTAGGTTGACAAATCGAACAATAAAAAAAATTCAAAATAAACTCACTGCCATCAAGTCAATTCCTACTCACAGCAACCCTTTATGGGTTTCCAAGTGCATAAACCTTTAGAGGAGCATTAAACAGCCTCATTTTTCTCCCATGGAGTTGCTGGTGGGTTTAAACTGCCAAATGTACAGTTAGCACTCCAATGTTTATCCTACAGTGCAACACTAGAGCTCCTATAATAAAAACTGTTTTGTGGTTAAGTGCCATTGAGTCGGTTCTTACTCATAGTGACCTTGTATAGGGTTTCCGAGGCTTTAAATTTTCCTTGTGGCAGAAAAAAATCATTTCTCTCTCATGGAGTAACTCAGGATCTAGAACTGTGAAGCTGTTGGCTCAGTGCTCATGGTATGGAACCACCAAGTTCCCAAAATGAAAACTAGGAACCTATTCACTCATTTGGACTCCTGATGTGGTGCTGTAGGATTAGCGCTGGACTGCGAACCACAAGGTCGGCAGTTCAAACCCACCAGCTGCTCCTCGAAAACTCCATACAAGGTCACTATGAGTCAGAACCAACTCAATGGCACATAAGAAAAACAACTACTCAGTCATTTATATTATACTGTATAAAACTATTGTTCTACAATAGATTGGATGTTTAACTCAAACAAACAATAAAACTAGTTCTTCACCAAATATCTGAGAAGCGCTGGCACTGTTCAAGGTCATATCACCGCTTGTTAATACTTAAGAAGTGTATGTGTATGTAGACTGTGTGAAAATTAAAGCAAGAAATCACTGAACCTCAAATCACAGAAAAATATGACTCAATTTTCAGAGCATAAAATTTGGCTTTTAAGCAGATAAACATTAAAAGTCTTTAAAGTTTCATTATTTGTTGTTATTGACTTCTCTGTTGAGGATTAAAATTTCAACAAGAAAATTTCTACATCCTATTATTATATAAAGTAGAAGACAATTACTCGATTTTTAGAAATGGAAAACAGATGGCATCTTATTACTCAGTTTTATTTTATAAATACTCTTGATTGGTGACATTGGTGGCATGTATACATAAATGAACACATTTGCCAGTTGCTATAATCCAATATGTCAATACATCCTAATGTATGGATTCACCAATGATAAAACTGCAGTTTATTTTGGCAAAGTACTTACACAATGGCCAAGCTAATGAAAGCCCAAGGAGAAAAAACAAAAACGCGATTAGTAGTAAGTAGACCAAAAACAGAGAAGCAAAGTTTCTATCAATATTTAATATGTGCCTACCAGAGTAAGTTTAAAACTTTCAGTAATAATACCATTCCGCAGTAACCAAGATCTTCTTCCATTTCACAGTAAACCATCAATGGCAGTATCTGAGAAATCACTGTGAGCCAAATACTGTATGGATTTAAATTGCGGACCTCATGGGAGCAAAATCACCCCTTCCTATAGTGTCCTAAGCAAGGATTTTGGTCACCCATCAAAGGCCTATACTGAGGTGAAACCTCAACCAGCAAGGAACTGCTAAAAACGTCACTAAATGATTCCCACAGTACTGGAAGACAGTGTAAAAAGTGTTCCCTTATCAAAGCTTAAACTCTGGAAACCTCTGGCGCCACACTGTAAAAAGCACAACTTGTTTTTTGTATTTGTTTTGTACTTACCCTTCAATAGCACAAGAAATCTCTGGTTGAGACAGCAAAACAAGTTGTAAATAGTTGGCAAAATGCACAATTGTAATGCATTATTTCATGACCCTAGTACAATTTCACTATGCTTGAAATTTTAAGTATTATGGTTAGACTCAAAATTGTACATTTTTTTCAACACTCAAAAAATTGTATAGAATTTGAGATGTTAAGTAACAGTACAAAACTCAAATGTTTTGTTCAAAAAAATAAAAAAATCTTTAATGTAAAAAATCAGAAAAAAATACATCCAACTAAGATTTTGCTCCCAATACAAAACACAAAAAATTGAGTAAGAAAGTAACTAATCTTTCAGTTACCTGGAACATCAGAATGAATTCACAAGTTATTAGATGCCTAAAATTCCCCCTATGATAAAACTTTCCCCAGACAGTAAAAGCTTTTCCATTACTGTAAATGAAAATCCTTTTAAATAAATTTGCATAATTAGAGGCTGGGTAGGCTTGTGTGCATGTAAAACTGGTTTTTAAATTACCCTCATCTGGATCCCACACACTAGCATTATTTAAAAGAAAGCAAGATCAAAGAGGAGTGAATGTGATTGAATACTTTTTTCAAATGTTAAAAATAAAATCCCATTTTCTTTCAAGAGGGTAGAATCCTCTCTCTCAAAGAATGCATACCAGTTCACTGTGTAGAGTTACATCTAATAGTCTATGATTCATACGTCAGGAGAAAAGCAATGAAAACTAACACACACTTCCAACTTTTAATAATTCTCTTCTCTTCCTCATAATCAGTTGCTATTTTAAAGATGTGGCAGCCATACATTATATATTTAAACATATAGTAACTCTAAATTATCCTCTTTCATTCTGTAGGGGTTCAGATTTTATTTGAAAAAAAAAAAAAAATAAGATGCTGGGAAACATTCACACCTAAAGTGTGAAAAGTCTAGGTTTCTCCAAGAACAATAAATGGTTTGACAGTATCTAGTTCAAAGTGTCCAATTGGTAGTTAAGGATGGATGCCAAAAGGCAGTTAAGAAATGAAGAAAGACTCAACACTTACTTTCAAGCTGCATATAGGGGAGTGGGGGTTCAAAAAGTTAGTAGAAAAACAGAATGAAAAGATCATGGAATTTTCCTATGAATTTTTGAAGCCCCTTGTATGTTTCCTGTCCTGTGAAACATGTTCAGTTTTTCATTCTACACCCAGTCTGCTAGGCCAGTAATGTGTGAGCAGGGCCAACAATGAAACTAAACACACAGAGCAAACCCATCTCCTCACTTCAAACCTGGTTTGAAACTATCACATTAAGTGGAATTCTCTCAAAAGCTTCTATTCAGTGTCTTACTCATTTCATCACACGTTTTAGAATTTGGCATTCTTTTTTTTTACTTGTCACCAAAAGACCTTGCAATGGATCATAGTATAAATATACAGAAATGCTTTTTTCTCCTTAAAATTCCAAAGGCCACACCAGATCTACAACTAATTTTCATTATAATTGGTCTTTGCCTCTTCTCTGTTGCATCAAACTTCTTTCTCTCCCTTGGAAGGAAACTAAGCTTGAAACATTTACTACAAGTATTTACTGAACTCATTTCTTGACGTGTAGTTACGAAGTCATAAGATGTAAAAACAAAACAGCCTAGATGCACAGATGTCTTTAATGTACATGGATACCGGAGATCGTAACACACAAATGTCAACATTAATACTACCATTCTTAACAGTGTTGAAGCTCTTCTTTTGGAATCCAACTCTAGCGCACTGGAAAACATACCTTCCTTTGAACAACAACAGTGGTGGCCAGGTCCCTACCCTCTGAGAGTGCATTAGGATCAGACACAGGATAGTTAGTCAGAGGCAAATCTGACCATGGAGATTAAGAACATTTGGTGCTAAAAGTCAGATGTGAATATAAATTGATGAGACAAATTCTTGAATGATTTAACAGCTCTTTGAAGGCAATTCCCAAATCTGTTTTAGTAGTAATAGAATATTTGCAAAGTTTCTATGCAAAAATTCCTAGAAAGGCTGTAACAACATTCATAATACAAGGATGCTTCAGAAAGTTCATGAAAAACTGGGATTAATATCTTTTAATTAATTCCAATTTCCTATGAACATTTTGAGATCCTTGGTATGACTTCTCAATAGTAATCTTCTTCCCCAGATATACTGGGCCCAACAATGTGCCAAATGCTATCCCTGTAAACTATTATACCTCCATTCAACAGGTGAGAGGTTGAAATACATTAGGTCCTTTGACAAGCTAAGTGGATGAGCCAGCTCTCAAAGGAAGCATTTTTTATTCCAAAGTGTCCACAGTTGGCTAGGACATTTTTTTTTCTCCAAAGCCTATTTTGAATCATTTCTTATAGAAAAAGCATCACCCTTTTGCTGTACTAAAAGACTAACTGGTGAAGGGAAAGGAAATTAAGTATTAATACAGTTAGTGTGGAACACCTTAAACAGAAAAAAAAAAAAATCCCACAAATATAGAAATTAATCTATAATTTCAGTAATCCATGGTCCAAAAGGAGTCCTGGTGTGGTGCTGTGGGTTAATGCGCCAGACTGCAAATCCATTTGAACTGCAAGGTGGGTGGGGTTCAAGCTCACCAGCTACTCCTTCGAAAACCTATATAGGGTCACTATGGGTTGAAACCTACTCGACAGCACTTAAAACAACAACAACAACGGTCCAAAAGATTAGACCAGAAATTTGGATTTAAATTTCCAAGTAACAATGATGTTTGTGATGTAGTAAAATGACTCCCTAATTTAGAAATACCTAAATTAGGACTTTTTGTTAATAGCATTAAGGTGTAAATCTCCTCTCTCATTCTAGTTAATGAGTATAAAATATCTCTTTCAGAGGAATATAGAAAATCCCTGAGAAATACAAGGCCAACTCACAAGGTAAATTAAGTATGAATAGAGAAGGCAGCATACAGTATGGATCAGTAACTGTATAAAGTATTTGTATTAATTATCTACTTATAAAAAGACGCCAAGGTATTTCCCAAGTGTCCTGTGTGACATCTCTGGGGTTGGTAGACTGCTGTATTAAGCGATCACCTGCACAAGGTACTGAACTCTTACTGTGTACACATCAGATACTATAGAAGCATTTGTTCAAAGTGATCCAGCTCTTTGCTTCAGACACTTGGGCCCTCATCCTGAGTAGGTCTTTCCTGTGAAAATCACTTCCAAAGATGATGGAAGCTGGGAGAAGTTTCATTCCTCACCACGGTTTAGACTTAAAGATTTACTGAATCATCAAAAGAAGTGTTATATTCTATTGTGATTTTGACTCGTATGCCAAGAGTAGGGATGGATTAGGTTTACTGTAATTTAATATAGATAAATCAAATGAATAAAATGTATATGCATTAATTTAAATTTCCAAATTAGTAGAAGTTTCTTTCTGAGAATATTATATAACCTACCAAAAAAATAAAGACTAATGGTTAATACTCAAAGCGCCAAGCATTCATGCATGGAAAATATTACAGCCTCAAACATCTATAGGGTTGGTGAATTACATGTGGAGATAAGCACTGTTGTCAGTGTTATTGTTAACAACAAAGGAGTAAGAATCATTAGAATGTTTTTGCATTATGACTGTGTTGCTGGCAAGCTGGATTATTTCAGCTCCTTTAGGCCTCAGTTTCTTTACATGTTACAACATAAGGAAATCAGATGATCATATAGATCATTCCAGCTTTGGTCACAGAATGAGATGGGAGATATTACAATGGCTGTTGTTATGGTGAAGTGCTGTTAAGTGGGTTCCTACTCAATGCAAACCTGAACAGGGTTTCAAAGGCTATAAATCTTTGCAGGAGCAAAAAGTCTCATCTTTTTTCCACAAAGTAGCTGCTGGTCTCAAACTGCTGACCTTGTGGTTCACAGTCCAGTGCTTATCCTATAGAGCCACCACACCCCCACTATAATGGCAGCAGTCATGGTCTTTAATCAAGATAGTAAAAGCACAGTATAGGTCATTGATAAGTCTATGGTTTGATTTAATAGTAGTTCATGTTTACCAACTTTGTGATTGATGTTGGTTTTCGTTCATGTGCTTTGCTAGGGCACACCTTCCCATCCCCTTTCTCCTACTTATTCCCCATGAAATAGCCTTTATTATCAGCATGTAGCAAGTACTAATAAACAGAGAATTAATTCATATTGCCAGACTGGTTTCTACTTTATGGGCCATCTTTATAAATGAAAGATGAGTGATATACACATGAAAATGCCACGATGCTCCTTTATTTCCTGTTGTTTCACTTTCTTTTGCTTGTTTGCTCCTTTTCCAAACAAGACTAGTAAAATCACCCAGTTGGTGTTCACCCAGCTCAAAAGCAATAAAAAATTCTACTCTAAGAATGTTTATCATATAATTTCAGACTTGTCAGTTGGTAGACTTTTCAGGTCTGGAAAGCATTCATCTCATACAACATTTAGTGTTGGGTTGGTGCCTGGCATTGAAGCAGGAGCTAAGGGAAACACAAAACAAAGCAAATGCTGCCCTCCAGAAAATTACACCTTAAGTGGGAAAGCAAGTTAAGACTTAATTACCATGTGCTCTGTGGTTCAGAGTCCAAATCCATGTTCACTGTCACTAAGTGCTACAGACGATTAGACAAAAGATCACAAAGGGCTGAAGTAGTCAGGGGAGAAATTCTATAGAGATATGCACAGAGGGATGGCTGGATGGACAGATAAACTGTCTAAGTAAATAATCCTTTATTTGCTTACAATGTGCTAAAAGTTTTCAAGGACTGATTCTGCTTGTTACTGTAAAGTCTACTCTGACTGATGTGTGCAGAGTAGAACTGATCTATAGAGTTTTCAACTGATCTATAGGTGACCTTTCAGAAGCATATCACCAGACCTGTCTTCTGAAACATCTCTGGGTAGGTTTTGAATCACCAACCATTCGGCTAGTAGTTGAACGCATTACCATTTATTCTACACCAGGGACTTCATAGTTTTCAAAGAAGAGCTCCTTTAAATCCTGTAACAATCCAGTGGAAGAGGTACTAATATTATACTCAGTTTGCAGATGCAGAAATTTAGCCTTATCAAGTAATTCCATGAGGTTTGCAATCGCTAGAAATGGCAAAACTAGGATTGACCCCTAGGAGTCTTACTCAAGCAAGCATGTACGAGGGGGCTTCAAGACGTTCATAGAAAAATTCCATGGTCTTTTCATTCCATGAACTTTTAGAAGCCCTCCTTGTACGTAAAAGATTGGACTTGAGGTAGATACTCAAAGAAAAGAGACATAAGAGAGGACCCCAAACGAGACACTCAAGCCATGTTTTTGTCACATTCTTCCTCATGTAAATATAAATTAGGTTACATGCATTTGTAGCCTGAAAGAAATTCTGTGTGTGACACTTATCATGATGGTAAAGCAAGTTTATAGTTTTAAATCTCAAGAGTTCATCATAAAATACTTCACAACAGGCACCAAGACTTGGAGTGTGGGAAGTCATTAAAAACACACATCAATGCTTTCTGAATGGTATTCTCTGACTGTTTATAGACAAAACACAGAATATCAGAAACTTCACTAATGTGTGTTTTTCTGCTTCATTTATACCTGGTGGAATCACAGTATCATGCTTTTTTATCCAGGAAAAAGACAAAGCAATTTTGAAGCTACTATCTATTCCGGTGCTTACTGTAAACATGGTCTTACCTCACAGTTGCTGAGATCAAGAGACACCCCCTTCAAGTTATGATTACAAGCCAGCCCCAATAAGAGTGCTCTGCAGGGAAGAAACAGAAACATTACATACAGAATTCTACATGTTGCACACCCCACTCCATCCCCCATCTCCTGTCCCCAAATGTAAACACCAAGAAAGAAGAATCCTTTTTGTGGATCACAGAGTCAAGCACCCAGAGAGCGCCATCTCCCAGTTTAAAATGTCAGTTGCATTTCTGCAGCTCACTAAGGCTGTGACGACATTCTCCTGTCTGACCCAGCACAGGCCCATCAAAAATGCAAAACCCAACAGCACTGTTATTCCTATGCAAATAACCCAACAGTACACCTAATTGCACACTGAGATTAAATTGTGTTCATCACTGAAAAATTCCCACCTGCATCTGCTTGAGAACAACTTTAATAATGTTTAGAATATTATTAGGCAATTGTTATTAATGTGGCAAAGTCAAAGCTGGTTTCCTCTAAGGAATGTGTCAGTGAAGTTATCAGGTTCCACTTATTCCAGGATATGAAATTCTATCAAGATGAGTTCATTCAAGAGGTAGGATAGGAGAGGGTACCCAAGCATGGGATATAAGGCCCAACTCTGGAATCTGAATCCAGAATCTTCGCTGTCCAACCACTGGATAGTCACTGGACAAACTGCATACAGGACAGCTCTGAAAATGTATTTCCTTATCTGAAAATCCAGGAGATTGGACTAATTACTAAGATCACAGCTCTAAGAGAAAGAATTTATTCCACTTTTACCAGTCCTGTGAAATTCACCACCACTGAGTAGGCTTGAAACAAACATTTCATACATGCACATGCATCCATCAAATTAGATAGAAGGGAAAGAAGGCCCTAAACGAGGTCCTGTGAGGACTACAAAATGAGTATGCGATGGCTCCTGGGCTGGAGCAAGGGAAACAGATACATGCGCACATAACTGTAATACAAAGCAGAGAGGAACCGGACTGTAAGAGTGAGGATTCACATTGTTCCCAGGAAAGAGAACTGCCCAGCATACTCTAGAAATATCCCAGGTTAGGAGAGAGATGGGATGGCAGAGAATTACAGTAAAACTGGCAAAAACTGGATCATGTGTAAGGCAGAAACCTGCCAGAAAGAAAACACAAATATTTTCCACTTAAAGAAATGACAGACAAGTGGTTAAGACTGCGCCCTGTCAAAGGCGGAAAACTTGAAAAACCAACTTTTCACAAGTTTCACTGCATTTCAGGCCAAGTCTCTGAGATTTTCTTCCCAGAATTTGCTGGACCCATCCACTGAGGTAGCTCCCCAGCAAGAGGCATCAAAGCTGGAGGGATTCAGCTGCTTTTCCCAGGCAGAAGGAAACCCCATCTCAGAGCATTCTGAAAGGAATGCCTTTTATTTAATTTCTTTAATTCAGCTCACTATTGCATTACTCTAAAGACTTTCCTAAGAGAAAGGACCCTTGGTGGGGCAGAGGTTAAGTGCTTGACTACTAACAGGAGGTCAGTGGTTCTAATCCACCAGCAGCTCTTTGGGGAAGGGGTTAGAGAAGATGTGGCCACCTGCTTCTATAAAGATTGCAGCCTTAGAAATGCAATGGGGCAGACAGTTCTACTCTATCCTAAATGGTTGCTATGAGTCAGGAGTGTTTTTGTCCTGTGAGAAAAGCCAGGTTTGTCTCCTCTGTGAACATGCTTGAGCAGAGGTTTAATTACCTGTTACATCAATTCTTTTTTCCTACCAAAAATTGCTCTTCTCTGACTCCTCTTTCTTCTCCTGAGGGCAGAGTTATACAGCTGAACAAGCTTTGTGCTGAGAACAAGAGCCCAGGCCTGTGTCCTGGATAACAGCAGGGTGACCTTCAGCAAATCACTCTTCCTCTCAGTGTCTCAAGTTCCCATCAGTAAAATAAAGACATAACCTAAGAGGTCCCTTCAAACATATACTGAGTTTCTAGAACTTAGCCCACACATTCCGGCATGACATTTTCGTAATGCTGAGATGGAAAATGCTTCTTACTTTTCTTTCATGTGGATGAAAGCCAAGTAGACAACTAGATGCTTTCGGATATTTTAACTATTAGAGGCTAATGATTATGAGGCAACCGCTCATGAGACCAGTAAAAAGAAATAGCCCATTGAAACTGTCCTTAATAAAAATAAAACAGAATAACAACAACAAAGTGGAGTGGACACTGGGGGAAAACTCTAGCAGGACACATGCGGAGCTAGAAGAAACTGTTCTAATAATTATCCTCTCAATCCTTGATCATTACTAAAAGATTGGTTAAGAGAAGAATTTGTACTTCATTTCCCCAGCTCTGGATATGTGACTTTAGTTATAATTTTACATTTAATAGGTTTATTAAAAGTACTCAGCCAGGGAGACAGGATGGGAGGAGGGGTACTGTCTGGCAGGAAGGCAAGAAAGGCTCAGAGAACAGGAGAGTGGAAGACAGGGAGAGGGAGACCAAAAGTGAACCGCAAATTTAAGCTCCTATTGCACTCTGGGTGATGGTGGAACAAAATGCCAGTCTTGTGACACATGCGAATCACTTCTTTCAGGAAACATCAAGAACAGCATCACTGGACTGGAAATGTAAAGGTGGATATTTTATAACAAGGAGGTTAGTGATTAACCTGTCAGTCTAGGAGCGGAGGGCCCTGGGACCATCAATGGAGAAGAGCGGAGAGCAGGACCCCACCCAGAGAAGCAGTGAGGCCTGAGACTGAGACAGAGAGGATGACGTGAAGAGATGGAGTGGCTGAGGACTTGAGATCCAGAGATGGAGAGGGGATGTGTGCTGAGGACCGTGGTGGGGCGGGGCGGGGGGGAAGAGGCTTGCAGGGTACACCCTATGGTTGGGTGATGATGCATGGACGGATGGTAACTAGGGCAATGAAACGATGTATGATGGAATGAATGTAAAACTGATGTTCCCCCATGTAAACTATCACACAATACACAATAAAACATTAAAAAAACAAACAAAAAAGAACCCCACAGCATCACTGTGTATTTTCAAATAAAAACAAACTCACTATTGTCAAGTTGATGACAACTTAAATAGTGACGCTATAGGGCAGGATGTAACAGCTTCATAGGGTTACCAAGGCTATCAATCTGTACCAAAGCAGTCTTTTCTCCCACATAGCAGCTAGTAGGTTCAAACCGAAGATCTTTCAGTCAACAGCCCCATGCTTACCCCACGGTACTACCAGAGTCTCTGGTGTTCTTTAAAACTCCCAAAATATTTTAATATGGACTGAAGCAGCCTCAATGGAAAAGTATGATAAAGTAGTAATCAGTTATATTCTTTGTATTGCTTATAAAGAATTCCAAATAAAGTGGGAATATTATGAAAAATATTCTGTCCAAGTCTAAAGTGTTACTCTCAAAAGAAATTGTTTTTTCTCTAGCTTATTCTAGTGGCTCTTGATCCCAAACCTTTGAAGTAACAAGGGTTCCCCCTTCCGTACAATGTTAGTAGAATTTAAGGCAGTGTGGAGTCAGGTATAATCCTGAGCCAGTGACAACTGGCTAACAGGGCGGACACTAACACACAGCCCTGAACCCTTCCTTCCAGGGCAGCCTGCATCTGAGGACTCTGAAGGGTCATCCTAACTCCAAGCTCCAACAGGGTCTGCTGAGGTTCTTACCAAGTGGCTTCCCAGTTTAACTTCTCCCTCTTATGAATCCTGCTTTCTTCCTCCCTTTCTCTCCAACCAATGGTAATCTCAATTACGTCCTAATAAATGTTCTCCATGTTAATCTCTACTTCAGAGTTGGCTTTCCTGAAAATCCACACAACAACAGTGATTCTGGGCAAATCACTTAGCTTCTGAGTGTCAATTTCCTCAGCAGGAAACCTAAGGTAAGATTACTAACATCCTACAATTGTTGTCAATGTTAAAGTTGAAAGCATTTAATACAGTATCTAGCATAGGGTTTTGTGAGCTGTGGTGTCAATTCTGAGTCGGGGCAACCCTATAAAACAGACTAGAACTGCCTTCTAGGGTGTAACTAGGCTTTAACTCTTCACAGAAGAAGATTGTTAAATCTTTGCTACAGAGAAGCCATTGGGTGAGTTTGAGGGATTCACCTCTCAGTTGAGTCCACTGCTTAATCATTATGCCACCAGATAAAACTGGTACCAATTTTATGATGATTTTTCAGGCTATATAATTGTATTTAATTTGTGTATAGGCTCATCCCTCAGTAACCTTGAGTATTGGTTCCTGGATTACCTCCCCCACTCACTCACCCAGAATCCACTGGATGCTCAAGTCCCTTGTATTAAATGGCATAGTATTTGTATGCAACCTATATACATCCTCCTGGTATACTTTAAATCACCTCAAGATTATTTATAATACCTAATACAATGTAGAGTGAGGAGCTCCATCACCAACAACACAGAATACTGGACCAAGCAACTCAGGGGATGGTGCTAGAACTCTGAACCACATATAAAGGAATATTTAGAACGTTGGAAGGCTTACAGCTAAGGGAATTTGTAGCAGAATCAAGAAATCCATTGCTTTCTAATTTAAGATGCTCAGCTGCTCTCTTGGTGGGAGAGACCAAGCAGGGAAAGGATCAGAACAGCCATGAATGCCTGACAGAACCACGGAGATGCAGGTGTGGACATTTTTTTTTTTTTTTTTGTATCTGTTCAATGGTCTCTCGCTGTCTGCACACCTCCATTCTGGTGGCTAGAGGGGATACCTAAGAGAATAGAGACCCCACCCCCACCCCTGGAGGGTTCTACTATGCATGTGAATAGATCTCCTCGAAATTTATACAGACAGTTTCCACTTAAAACCAAACAGCCACCACTCGTCTGTCAGTTTGTCATACTGTAGTGGCTTGTGAGTTGCTGTGATTCTGAAAGCGATGCCACCGGTATTTTAAATACCAGCAGGGAGAGCCATGGTGGACAGGTTTCAGATGAGCTTCCAGATGAAGACAGACTAGGAAGAAAGAGCGACAAACTACTTCCAAATATTTAGTCACTGAAAACCTTATGAATAGCCGAGAAACACTGTCAGATATAGT